TTGCTGTGCATTTAGTTTGTTCTTTTACTAGTTTCTTATTTCTTTTTGTGGTACTGAGGATCCAACTCAGGACCTTGCACTTGCAAGGCAGGAGCGACACCACTGAGTTAAATCCCCGGCCTTCTTTTACTAGTTTCTTAAGTTGCAAGATTAGGTTATTGACTTAAGATTTTTCATGTTTTCACACAGGTGTTTATAACTGTAAATATTATACCACACACTGTTTTAGCCGCATCTCATTAATGTTGGCATGTCATGTTTTTGTTTTCATTCATCTAATTTCTTTTTATTTCTTCTTTGACACTTTTATTATTTAGAAGAATGTTGTTTACTTTCCACATATTTGTGAAGTTTCTACATTTTCTTATGTTACAGACTGCTAATTTCATTTCATTGTGGTCAAAGAGCATACTCTATACTTAAGGCTTTTCAAACTTATAGAGACTTGTTTTATATCCTAATACATGATCTATCTTGAATATAGCATCTGTACTTAACACTATAAGAATACATATTTTTTTTTCTACAAATGAGAGGTCTGATTGGTTTACAGTGTTGTTCAAAATTTCTGTGTAATTGTGCTATTTATTAGAAGTGCAGTTGTGGAGCCTCTACCTTGTATTATTAAATTGTATGTTTCTTTTTCTTTGGTACCAGGGATCAAACTCAGGACCTTGCGCTTGTAAGGCAGGCATCGTGCCACTGAGCTACATTCCTGGCCCAAATTGTCTGTTTGTTTACTCCATTTCTGTCAGTGTTTGCTGTATGTTTTGGAGGCTCATTTGTTGGGTGCTTGTGTGTTGTAATTTTTTATAATTATCTTTGTCTATAGTAATATTTGTCTTAATGTCTACCATATCTAATATTAATATAATCTCTCCAGTTGCTGGTTCTCATTTGGCAACTTTGTTCCTCCTGCTTTTTGAAGTAAAACTCATATAAATTGCATCTATGAATTTGTCTTTTTAAGCAAAGAAGAAAAAGGTTACATACAAAAAGTCTTTTTTTCCGTGTGTGTGTGTTTGTGTGTGTGTGTGTGATTTTTGGAAACAGAGTCTTACTGTGTAGTCAGGCTAGCCTTGAGCTTTTGATCCTCCTACATCAGCCTCCCAAGTGCTGGCATTACAGGAATGAGCCACCACACCAGGCTGATTTTATACTTACCTTTGTAGGTATCTTTACCAGTGTTATTTTGTAGATTCAAATTACTCTCTGGTGTCTTTCACTTTAGCTGGAAGGATTTTCCCTTTGCTGTTTCTTACAAGGCAAATCTGCAAGCAACAAATTTTGGTTTTGTTTTTATCTGCAAATATATTTATTTTCTGATTTTGGATGAAGATTTTTGCTAGATATAGGCTTCTTAGTTAACATTTTTCTGTCATATCTTGAAATACTGTTTCACTGCCTGTGGGCTCTGTGGTTTCTGATGAGCTTTTAATCTTATTGAGGGTTCATTGTATGTGTTAAGTCATTTCTCTCGGTGCTTTCCTGATTATTTTTATAGCTTATGGATCTCTTGAGTATATACTAACTACTTGGAGTTTATTGACCTTCTTTGATGTGGAGATTGTTTTTTCTTATATTTGAGGAATTTAAGGGATATTATTTCTTCAAGTAGTCCTTTCTGTTATTTCTCACATTCTGGAATAATCATTATGCTCATGTTGCCACACTTGATGGTATCTTGTAAGTCTGAGACTCTGTTGTTGTTATCATTCTTTTTTGTTTTATTCCTCAGACCAGATAATTGCAATTATGTTTTAGCTTGTTGATTCTTTTGTATTCTAAAATCTCCTGTTGAGCCCTCTCTAGTGAATGTTCTATTTAAGTCATTATACTTTTCAAGTCCAGACTTTTGATTTGGTTATTGGTATTTAGTATTTGGTCAGATAGCATCCTCAAATTTCCAAGCATAATTTCCTGTAGTTCTCTGAATTTATTTGAAAATAGTTCACTTTAAGTCTTAAATTCGGTGCCTGAGCTTTCTTCAGTCAGGACTGTTTATATCAACTGCCCCCTCCTCCTTTATAGGAGCCATAATTGTTTACCTGTATGTGTGTGCGCACACGCGCGTGTGCTGGAGACCCCTGCAGTCAGATTCCAGTACCCACTTGCCCAATGTATGACACAGACCTGAGAAAAAGAATACACTAGGAGACAGAACTAGGAGAGGGAAAGTGGGGTGCCAGGACGACCAATGGTGATGAAACTGACAAAGGCTCTGGCCAATCCCAGGCACTGACTTTTACTGGCAATCAACTGGGGTAAAGACGATGTGTGGTTTCTATGGAAATTAATGTAAACAAGGCTCATAAAGGACAAGACAAAGCATCCTCAAATTAGGAAGAGAATAGACAAAATATATGATTGTAATTAGAACATTGTCCTTCTAGTAGTAAGATTTTAGTTGTTGGAATGGAATTTGGGTGCGAGTTACTCTGACCTCCGTACATAGGCTTCAAAACTCACTTCTGTAAACAAGCCAGTTGCGGGGTTAACTCTTCACAGCCTGCTTTGGGCATAATCAGCATTACAGTCCTCTGCGTGTGTGCATGCGCGTGTGCATGTAAAGATTGGACATTTTAAATAATACAGTGTGGGGGCCAGGGATTTAGCTCAGTGGTTTCGCTGCCTGCTGCGCAAGCGCAAGGACCTGAGTTCAGTCCCCAGTACCAGAAATAATACAGTGTGACAGTTTTTGTAATCTTAATTTTTTCCCCATGTTTGTTATTTTAGCTGTTGCTTGTTAGTGAATTTGCTGGACTAACTGTAAACTCCATATTTTTTTAATTTTTAAAAATTTATTACTGCATGTTTGCAGTAGATGTGTTTTACAATTCTCTTGGAGAGTTAGTCCATGTACATAATATAGCTTGTTTCTTTTTTGTAATCCCCTTCTCCCCTCCTGCCCTCCTCTAATTCCTCTTCCCCCCTTTTCTTTTTTTGTTGACATTATTAATCTTAGTTCATGTTTATGACATACATACAATGTCTGCATTTGTTATCAACTTCCTCTTACCCCACGCCCTTGGTCCCCTGGACCTCTTCCCATCTGCAAGAAATCCATTCCCTGTCTCCTTCTACTTCCTTTATTTTTCTCATAGTTTGTACTTTGCTTTACTCAAATGAGAGATGCCAATCAAAAAATTACAAATGCTGGCTTGGCAGTGGTGAAAAAAGAACCCTCCTACATTGTTGATGGGAATGTAACTAGTACAACCATTATGGAAATTAGTATGGAGATTTCTCAAAGAACTAAAGTTGGAAATTCTGAATAACCTAGCTATCCCCCTTCTGGATGTCTTCCCGGAAGAGCTTAAGACATTAAGCTACAGTAATACGTGCATACCACTGTTTATAGCTAATAGCTAAATCCTGGAAGCAACCTATATACCCATCAACAGATGATTGAATAAAGAAAATGTGCCATATATTTATCAATCAGCTATGAGGACAAATATCAGGGGATGCCCAATGATCAGGGAGTGCCTGACCACCTAATTGAGGGTACAGCAGAGGATGAAAGAATATACAAAGAATAAAGAACAAATGACTGTTTATTACTTGAAGGCCAGGATTTGATGTTAGCTCTTCCTGGCTAAGACTACAATCTTTGGACTAGTTAGTATTTATTGCTTATAAAACATAGCAGGGGGCATAAAGGCAAATGTAAGGAATAGCAGAACTAATGCACTAATGAGCCAGGCTTGGAAAAGAAAGGAACTATTGCATTCTAGTGACAGACAGGTTGTAGTTAACAAGCCACCTGTGTTATCTCTAGCTAAAGTTTGATCAAGAAGAATAGCTGCCAAAGAGTTGTAAATCCTCAACTGTAGTGTTTTCTTGCCATTAGAGGTGTCACAATCTCATTGATCATTTAGATCTCAGTTGTGACCATTGGCATAGGGAATTCTGTTTCCCTACACCAGCAGAAGGCTCATTTGTCACGTCACATGTAGGCCTTGGATTGAGTCACAATTCAGTTAAAAGCCAATTTACAAGCCAATTCATTATTATCTTACAGCCTGTTCAACACACTTTCATGCTGGTCTGCAACAAATTTGAGACATTTGTAGGAAAATGGATGCATCTGGAAAATATAACGTTGAGTGAAATAAATCAGACACACAGCTTGAATACTGTGTGGTAAACTGTGTTCTAGAAAGAGTTTTTGTTTTGAGACAGGATCTTGTTGTGCAGTTCAGACTGGCCTTGAACTCTATGTAGCCGAGGCTGGCCTGAAACTCGCTGCAGTCCTTCTCCTTCAGCCTCCCTAGTACAGGGATTACAGGTGTGCACCACCATGCCTGGCTTAAAGAGTTGATATTTAGTGATTGGACATTGGTTCCTTAAATACTGGGGTCCAATAAGTTTCACACTGCTTACCAGTGGGGTTTATGTGTGCTTTGGGGTATGCTTTAATATACAGCCAAGCAGTCAACAACTCTCTTAACCTTTACTGATTAAAGTTAAGGTTCTTGTTGGAATTGGTAATGCTTTGTTTCCCAAAGGGCATGAGTAAAAATTAAAGGAGTTCTTTTATGACCTTTCAAGCAGAGTAGGTAGGTTTTCAGGTCTTCTGTTCCTTTCTTTGGATAATTCTTTAGGCAGATAGGCATAGAAATAAGCAATATTGACAGAATATAGTTCTTAATAAACTAGTAAGTGAATTTATATATACCATCTCCTTACCTAGTCATTATGGAGGTTAGAAACTAGAGGAACTTATCATTTTCTGTCTTTCTAGAAGCATTACTATAAAATAATTGCACATTATCAAACACCTCATTTTACAACATTAGCTAGTATTGTTTCCCTGTGAAGAAGCCACCTAGTCTATGAATTTTACTTTGTTGTATAACAACCTACTGTTTTCTGGGCAAGCACATTCTGCTTGGGGCTGCATTTATAATTCTCGTATTTGCTTTATCATATTCAATAGCAGTTTTACCAAAAATGTAGAATTTACTGGAAGTACTTAAATTTTATTTTTCATTTAGGTTACTTACAACAAGAAAACCTCACTTCTACCTGCCAGACCTTTATATTGGAAAGTTCAGATTTAAAAGAATATGCAGAACACTGTACAGATGAAGGTTTTATCCCAGCCTGTTTACTGGTGAGTTACTTGTTGCTTAAAGGAAAAATTTCATCGACCACACAAGGGAGTGAACACTGTCTTTAAAAATCAGCTTATTGGGCTGGGGATTTAGCTCAGTGGTTTTGCTGCCTGCTGCGCAAGCACAAGGACCCAAGTTCGATCCCCGGTACCAAAAAAAAAAAATCAGCTTATCAAAGCTAAGCATAGTATGGTATACATATAGTCCCAGGTACTTGGGAGGCTGAGGCAGGATCATTTGAGCCTAGGAATTTGAAAACAGAGCAACAAAGCAACGCCCCATCTCAAAAAAAATTTTAGGGCTGGGGATTTAGCTCAGTGGTTCTGGCGCCTGCCTCGCAAGCGCAAGGTCCCAAGTTTAATCCCCGGTACCAAAAAAAAAAATTTTTTTTAAATCAGCTCATCAGCAAAGTCAAAATTGGCAAAAATTCAGTAGTTTATATTAATCCATGACTGATAAGATGCCAAAGAAGGCCAGCTATTTTACATATTTATGCTAAACCTGTTAAGTTGAATTGCAGCTTTGTCTCTTGAGAATCAGGGGGTGATGTTGGTGTTGGTGTTGTTGTTTTGTTTTTCTTTTCTGCTAATAATAGGAATAGAACCTAGGACCTTCACACTGAGCTACATCCCCAGCCTTCTTAATACTTGTTTTATTTTTGAGACAGTCTCTCTCTCTCTCTCTACACCTAAGCTGGGCTCAAACTTGCAGTCCTCTTGTCTCAGCCTTCCAGAGTAAGAATCAATTTTAAATAACACTCTCATTCTGATTAGTTTCACTGGGGCTTGTCTCAGACTTTTCTTTTTTAAATAGGAGAGGTTTATTTGGCTCACATTGTCACCTTTTTTTGTAAATATCACCTGACCAATAGAGCATCATCTGGAATATAATAGATGCATTTTAGAATGTTATTTCACATGGCATTTGTCATTCCATCTTAAACGTAGCTCCTTAGAGATGTTTTAACCATAACAAATGAATTTTTAAAAATTACAGTTTATCAAGGTTGCATCATATAATACATACAAAACCCCATTCTATTTCTACATACACACACAGTAAAGAACTAGGATTTAAATTTTTTAATATCAATTGATAATGGTAACAAACAACAGAATATTTACTCTAACAAAATGTTTGGAATCTGTGTGTTCAAACTGCATGAAAGAGGGCCAGGGATTTAGCTCAGTGGTCCTGTTGCCTGCTTTGCAACCACAAGGTCCCGAATTCGATCCCCGGTACCAAAAAAAAAAACTGCATGAAAGAAATTCAAGGTATAAATAAAAGGAAAGTGATTTTTGTGTTCATGTGATGAAAGGCTCAGTATTGTTCAGTCAGCTCTTCCCAGTTTGAGGTACAGATTTATCACATTTAAAATCCTCATAAACAATTTGGAGACAGGAACATGCAGAACTATAAATTGTGTAAGGAAAGGGAACTAGAAGAGCCCAAAGAATTCTGAAAACAAGTTGGAGGACTAACATTTCAAAAGCCTCAAGGTCAAGCTTAACAGTGAGCAACTCAGTTCAGAGGAAACTAAGGAGACATGTCTAAATGCAAAGTTTATTCTAGATTGGATTTTGGAACAAAAAAAGTACATTAGTGGAAAAAATTAGCAAAATTTGAATAAAGTTTATAGCATAATATTATTTCTCAGATAAAAGTGCAGTGGTTTCTTAAGGTGTTAACATTCCAGGATGCTGAGTGATACCTGTGGAATTCTTCACTGAATCTTAAATTACTTAAAAACAAAATCTTTAAAATCTTACAAATCAAGTAAAGGTAGTCACTCATGTCCCTTTTCTTAGATAACGAAACTGAAGTTCAGAAAGATTTAATTATATCCATGAAGTTCTTACAAGTAAATAGCACTAGGTTTCTTTGCTGTGCTTTGTGTATTGCTTTCTGTTATTAAGTGTACTACTTGCCAGGATCCAAAAATAATGAGAGAAGGGGAAGAAAAGCAAACTGCAAAAAAGAGAGTAGGAGACTATTCCAAGAATATGATGGTTGATTCATCCTTCTGTCATTCTGTTAATCTTCTTTCATTCCCTTTGGTGAGGCCAGAGGGAATTGTTGCCTATCATCTGTGAGGTGGTGGAAATTTCATATCCACATCTAAATCTATACAACAGTGGACAAGATTAAGAGTTTCTATGTAGAAAATAACTAATTCTTTAGTCAGTCATTTGGCAGTTGACCACTTAAAAGTTTACCCTGAGTGTCACTCAGGCAGTTTACATGCTTGTTTACATACTGACTATCCCGAGTGTCACTTAGGCCAGTGTCATTTCAACCAGTTGATTCTTGTATTGAATAAATTTGATAAAATTGTTGTTTATAAAAACAAAAAATGCAATTTTTGGTCATCCTGTATTTAAATAATTGGACGGGTAAGTGGTTACTAATTAGTTACTTATTACTAATTATTATGAATAAAACAAGGCATAAATACCAAGATAATATTACGGCAAATCCTATACTTTCTCAGGCTTTAATAAAGAAAGGACCAATTAGAAATCTGCTTTATTGAGGGTTCAGGAATGGAAAGGGAACTATAGTAATTGCCTAGTATGTGTCAGGCACGTCACAGTCCTCATGACAAAAGTTTCTATGAATTAAGCATTATATGTAAATTTTATTTTATATATATGAAAGTATATTTGTCTTATAAGTCAAATTCACATGTAATTGTTGAATTACATGTGAATTTGAAATCAGAACTATAAGCTCCAAAATCCTTGCTCTTCCCTATTGCATGATCTTACACTTGAGGTATAAAACCCTGCCCTTGGCCAGGCATGTAGCTCAGTGGCGCTGCACCTGCCTGACAAGTGCAAGGTCCTGAGTTCGATCCCCAGTACTGATGCGGGGGAAACCCTGCCCTTGAGCTGGGAATAGAAGAGACAAAAATAGATTGTTAAGATGATAGAAATGAGAACAGCACTGAACTGATTCATAGGAAGGATATCTCTTACATGTTCAATTTTTCACTTTGTTCTTTGGCAGGTTCACATGGCTTTCAGGATAGCAAGAGCAGATCAGGACTGTGTCCTTATTTTTAACTAGTCATATAACTAAATCTCTACCACCCAGCTGAAAAACTGTTCTTCTGCCCGTGGACTGTCTTAGCTAAGAAAACATGTGACCACAATGTCCTATTCAAACAGGCAAGGTTCTTTACCTGTAGAAGATGTGATGTGACCCACAACTCGAATGACTTTTCATTTTTGATGACCTCCTTTGCCCTTTCCTCATCAGCTCTTCTACAATCCAGATCTCTTTATTAGTTTTTGAATGGTAGAATATTTCATGGTGGGAAATTAATTGGTAGTATTATATGATTTTAGTAATACTTGATCTTTTCCTTTTCAGTCTTTATTTGGAAAAAACTTGACAACAATTTTGAATGAATATGTAGCTATGAAAGCAAAAGGTAAAAACGAAGGTTGAGGGATTTTTTTGTTTTGTCTTGTTAATTTTATATAGCATTTGTCTATTAGTAACTTTTAGAAAGTATTTCTAATTAAAACATCTGAGAAGCATTGAGAAATCTTTTCTCAGTTATGATGACATAAATATTACTAGGAAACATCAATTCATTTGTGTTTACATTGAGTAATACATAAATTGTAAAAATCTAAATATAAACAAAAATAAGCCATAAAACTCTTTTAGAGAGTGTAGGTTACCTGTACTGATGAGCAGGCATTGCTGTGTGTGACAAGTTTAAAAATCATCATTTTAATTTTAACTTCTGTGTATGTAAGTCTGAACATGGGAGCCAGTCATAAAATTCTGGCTCTCCCTATATTTCCCCCAAAATAATACCAGGTCTTATATTAATTTTTGCTCCAAAAGACACAAGAGGGCTTATTTTGGGGAAGTGTTTTATTTTTTTCACATACAAAAATCTACATTTATTCACATACAGTCATGTCATCTTCTGAAACATCATTGTAACTCTCCAAATCCCAAATTCCAGCCTGAACTTCTTACAACTCCATTTTCTGTAAAACCATTGGCTGTAGTCTGTCATGTCTAGCAATAGAGCTGTCCTTAAATGAGCACTTCCTGCCCATGTACTCTACACGTAGTACATTGGCTGGAGCACAGTAGTCAGTGATTTTTATCCCATGACTTCTTCACCCAGGTTACAACCTCTTGCAAGCTGGGCTTCACAGAGTTTCCATTAAATCAAGTGTTAATTGAAGACTTACGAGACAAGGCTGACAACAAAAATGATAACAGTTAATGATGGTCCATACAAAAGCAGCAAAAAATTGCAGGCACCAAAATTCAGAAAATGTTTCTTTATTTCACACGAGTGCATTAAGTACGTCCATTACAACACTTGACATACTGAACTATGAAGATTCATATTAGAGACAGTTGTGTCCATTCATTATCAAGTGTGCTCATTATTCCTGCATTGTGTCTGTATTCTGATTGGTCATTTGGCAGTAAGCCTTGAGTTCCTCTGTTTACATAGGCATTTACCTCTCGTCCAAAGGCACCTACTTGGGTATTTACAAGTACTTAATTAGAATTTCTATTCTAAGTATTAATGTCAGTGGTGTTATTTATATATTAATATTATTTTATAATTCAGTACACCTGTCCTGTATATTAAATGCATTTGTCTGGGTGACAATCTTAACTGAGGCTTATTTGGGGAGTAGGGCTTATAATCATCCTGAAAAATCATGCTAGGGCTTATTTTCCATTTAGGGCTTATTTTGGGGAAAATATGGTAGTTACTAGAATATATAAATAATACTAAATTAACTGATTTAGAGGACAAATTCTGATGATTTATTCTCTCACACTGTTGCTGTAGCTTAAAGCATTCACAAATTAGTGTTAAAGAAGTAGCATAAAATAATAACATGAATAGCTTAACGTTTGCTAAATACTGTTTATAAGCACTCTGCTTTCATATGTTTTATCTCATTTAGTGTGTAAATTAACCCACTGAGAAGTATTGTTTATACCTATTTTTAAGTGCAAGGTAATTGAGAATTAAATTACAAAGACTTCATATAACCTTTATGATAATTATTTGTCATAAAGCATATTTTAATTCATCTTTAAATATCACATGATAGAACAAAAATGAAAAAGTAATTTGTTATTAATCCAAAAAATTTATGAAATTACTGGCCTTACAAAAAAAGCTGCTGAATTTATATGGATGTCCATTTCCACTCATATTGTATATAGTATACAATAGCTGAAGAAAACAAAGCAGTAGCAATTATACCTTTCCTGGCCATTTTTTAAACAGGCTTTTCAGTTTCCAAAATAATGTTAGCAACAGAGAGAGGTTTTCTTTCACTGTGATTTTCTGTCTTTGTTCAAACTGAATGATGAATTTTCTCCAACTGAGTTTATTTTCTTTTACTATTTAGAAACATCAAATGATGTCCCAGCAATACTGTCATCTCTGTGGAAGAAGTTAGACCATACACTCTCTCAGATCAGGTACTGATTAAAATATGCATAATGATTTTGGAATGCAAGTATGCTTTAACTTTAAATTATTTTATTATATACATAGTGCACTTACATAATACCTTATTTGACATTATCTTAAAGGTTTTTGGTGTTTCATTGTCTTTGATTGGAATAATTTGAGAAAAATTGCATCTCTTTTTTTTTTTTTTGGTAGTGTCTTGGTTACTTTCTTATAACTGGGACACAGTACCCAACACCTACAACTGAAAGGAGTAGAGGTTCATTTGGCTCAAAGTTTGTGGAAGTTTCAGTCTGTAGTCACTTGGCTCCTAGGCAAGGCAGCATAGCAGAGGAGAAACAGCTCATGGTGTGGCATGCAGGAAGCAGAGAGAAATCAAGGGAGGAGGAAAGAGATAGACCCTTCCAGGCCGTGCCCCCAGTGACCTACCTCTTCCCATCAGGCTTCACCTCTCAGCATCACACCCAGCTATAAACTAATCCGTGGACTAATCCATTAATCGTGCCCTTATCATCCAGTCATCTCCCAAAAACCTCACCTATGAGCTCATGAGGCTTTGGGGGAACATCTAGTTATAAATCATAACAAATGCAAAGCTTTTGCCCTGAACTGTATACCCAGCCCATTTTTATTTTGAGGAAGGGTTGCTCTTAAATTGTCAGGTTGGGCTCCATATCCTGCCTCGGCCTCTTAGAATGGTGGCATTACTGGCATGCACCATCACACTTCGCTGAAATAAATTACATTTTAACAAAATATTTACAGATGAAGAAATTGAGGTATATAGAAGTTTAATGACATTCCCAAGGTTTTTGTAGCAACTTAGAGGCAGATCTTGTACTGGAATGTTTCTTATCTTAGTCCATTGTCAGTTCTCTTAGACAACTGCCTTTTTAGTACATATACAGAGAATGAATGTGTTGAACCCATGCATTTTGGTGCTGCCCTTGTTAAGAAATAAATATGATGGGTCCAGGGTTGTAGCTCAGCGGCACAGCGCCTGCCTGGCAAGCGTGAAATCCTGAGTTCAATCCCTGGTACCTAAATAAATAAACAAACAAACATAGAAAGTATTGCTACTGCTGTAATCTTCCTTTAGAACTTTCTTATGATGCTAATATCTGCCTTCTACCTAGTAAGCAGCCTTGAAATGTCACTTTTAGCGTCATTGGTATCAGTTTTACAAGATCTCTTATTTGATTATGGAGCCTATTATGAAAATGATAGTTTCTTACCTTTTTACCCTGAGATACAAGTGAATATCACATCTAACTTTACCAAAGGCTTTATTTTCTTATTTAAAAACTGCTGTAATGGCACCAAATGCATTTATCCTAAGCCTGGACCACATCTTATTTGGTAATCTTATCTTTGTTTCCCTTTTCTGACTTATCTTTCCTACCCTTGTAGATAATCTTCAAAAGCATTCACAATTTAGCATTTATAAATACTGTGTATTTTACTGAGATATTTTATTGACATGATTTTACATAAAGAGAAAGGATTCTTCTCTTTTTTAACAGTACTGTGATTGAACCTAGGACTGTCACACTAACCTACCTCCCCAGCCTTTTTTTGTTGTTTATTTTGAGACAGATTCTCAGTTGCCCAGGCTGGGCTCAAACTTGTGATCCTCCTTGTCCTCCCAGTGTGCTAAGATTATAAAAATGTTCCATGAGAAAGAATTCTTAGCCAGGTTTTCTCCTAAGTTGTTTTTATATTTTTTTTAAGTGATTCATTGAATTCAGTAAGTTTGTGGCCCCATTTTGTGTATGTGTGTGGTGGTTCTGGGGATTGAACCCAGGCCCTTGTAGGTGCTAGACAAGTCCTTTGCCACTGAGTTATATCTCCAGCCCTTGTGGCTCTTTGTAAAGGAGACTTGTGGCTCTTTTTAGTAGAGACTTACTTGGGATAAGGACAAAGTCCCTGTTAATGCTTAGCAAATACATGGGTAGGTAGTTAAAGTCCATAGTGAAAGAATTAACTTGAACTTTGAAATTTCCCATTTGCTTTTCTCTTAAAGTTTGGATAAGATAATTTCATAGTCATTTATTAAAAGCAAAATGTCTTTTGCCATGAACTTTGGGATTCTGAAGTATTAATATATGTGAAATCAGAGTTTCTTTTCCTCTAAATTAGAAATTTACAGAAATAGAAATAAATTAAGAAATACAGTTGAAAATGTTATACTTCATATGTAGCTTACTTAAATGTATGGAATTCCTAAAATCACCTCAAGCTGCATTCTTAAAATCAAAGCACTCTAATGCATATTTAATTGGTTAGAAACTTCATTACGAACAGTATGTTATATAAGTTTATGTGCCACTCTTTCTCTCCTAATACAAAGCAGAATTAGTTACCAAGAAAATGTGTTGTCTTTTTGTTTTTTTGTCTTAGGTCAATCATATTGTAACTCATGCTTTACATAACTAAATCTGAGAATATCTCGGCAACAAAAGTTTTCAATAAATAAACTACTTTGTTTTATTTGTTAGGAGCATGCAAAGTTCTCCGGGGTTGGCTGCCAATCAGAGAGGTTGGTATTCAACTTTAAACAATGTTGAGAATTATTCCAAACTTTGTCTGGTGAACATTTCATTGAACATGAATGCTAAGTATCTGTTTTGTTGAAACTGCCTTTTTTCTGTCATTTTATATGTATATATAAAATATACTCCCTACATTTTTCCATTGGCTCTCATGTAGTAGCATCTTTTAATTCTCATTTTACAATTTTGGATTTCTTAATTTGTGAGGATGTTAGCAATACAAATTATTGCAGAACAGTTATACTCTTGAATTTATAGTTTATTATGAAATTATCAAGTAAATTTGGTATTTTTAAGAACTATCTTTTCAGTCTGTGGATCTAATGTTATATAGTACTATACATAGGTCATTCATCATGTTGACATATTAATCCCAAACTGCTCTGATGTTAATTTTTAATGCTTATATGTTTGCAGTCCGAACAAGAAATGGAATTGCAGAAATCAAACGACAAAGAAGGCTTGCATCTCAAGCAGCTCCTGTCAGTTCAGAGTTGCTGATTTTACCTTATGTTTCAGCACAATTTACTACTGCTCCTTTGACAGCTACACAACCTGTTCAGCCAGCTGGCCAAATTTCAACGCCAATGAGGTCAAATTTTGTAGTGGTCAATCATTCACAGTCACAAGAAACTGTAACTAGTAAGCTTTTCTTTCTTTAACTTTATTGCATTATGTAAATGAGATGGTCTACTTATGTCTCTGTATTATAGTATAGAATTATGACCAAAGCGATGAGAGAAGCTTGACATGGAACAGACTTTAGGTAACTTTACCACAAAATAAAGTCTGGGAGTCATTTTATTCTAGAGTTCTTCCTATTTCTAATTTAATTGAAGACCTTGAACTTTCATTTTTAAATATGGGATATTAATAGAAAAGACCCTGTTGTGTTAGATTTTACACAGGATATACATTATATTTCACTATGTCCTTACCTTTGTTCATGCCCATCTGTCCTCATGGAATAAAGAGTATCTCTTTCTAGTATACTTCCATCTCTACTTGAAGATTCATATTCCTGGCTTAGTCTTAAAGCAAGAAATAAATATAAAGACCATATGGTATATCCTTGCTTCTTTTATACCTGATGTATAGGGGAAACATGTGGTGTAGTATAAGGTGGGAAGCTAGTTAATAATGGAGTTGGAATTAGAATTTAGGGATTATACTCTCAGTTCACAGTCCAGTCTTCTGTATAACTAAAATGTTGCCATCCATTAAGATCTCCCTCATTTCCATCTTTTCTACATTCAAAACACTTAATGATTTTCTTATACTTTTTTCATTCTGTCATGTATTTTGTTTTGTTTTGTTTTTTTGGTACCGGGGATCGAACTCGGGTCCTTCCACTTGCAAGGTAAGCGGCGGAACCACTGAGCTAAATCCCCGGCCACTGTCATGTATTTTGTATTCTGTTGTAAAGCCTTAAACTTAAACTGTGAAGTATTTGGTTAATATTAATATCTTGTACAATGCCTTCCCACATAGCAGGCACTCTGTAAAGACTTACTGAATTTAATGTAAAAATAATAATTAGAGGTTAGTCAGGTGTGGTGGTGCATACCCATAATTGCAGCACTTGGGAGGCTGAGGCAGAAGGATAGTCAGGAGTTTGAGGCCAACCTGGGCTACATAGTAAGTTCAAGGTCAGCCTAGAATATATAACAAGACATCTCAAAAAAAACAAAAAATAGGGGCCGGGGATTTAGCTCAGTGGTTTCGCCACCTGGTGTGCAAGTGCAAGGACCTGAGTTCGATCCCTGGTACCTAAAAAAAAATAATAATAATAATCAGTATTTAATGCTTCTTAGGAACAAGGTATAGTGGCATGTGCCTGTAATCCCAGCACTCCAGAGGCTGAGGCAGGAGGATCACCACTAATTTGAGGCCAGACTGAGCCACATAGTGAGGTTAAGGCCAGCCTGAACTATATAGCGAGACCCTGTCTCAAAAAAACAAAACAAAACAAAAAAATATATATCTATACTGCTTATCACCTTAAAGTTTAAATTCATTTTCCTTATCTTATTGTTTTGTTTTCTTGAAATACAGCCGGAGAGTCTTTAAATATCATTCCTGGAACTCAGGAAAAGAAATCTCACGCCAGTTTAATGTCACCTGGTAGACGTAAAAGGTAAATGATTTTTATAAAGAATATGTTGCGGCCGGGGGGGTTTAGCTCAGTGGTTTCGCCACCTGCTGTGCAAGCGCAAGGGCCCGAATTCGATCCCTGGTACCGAAAAAAAATAAGGAATGTGTTGCCAGTGCCATTTAAAACAAACAAGCAAGAATTGTAGCAGATATTTACATAGTGAATACAGTTCTTGGAACATGTAATGATATTTATTTCAGAAGACATTATTTTCTTTCACATGCTAACTTGAAACTGAGTTGTGTCCTTCAATAAATGGCATATCATTGTTTCATTGAATATTTCTTTTTTCTTTCATGGTACATAAAATAAGCGTATGTCTTAAAATTGATGATATCTCGGGTACTTTAGAATATATGCTTTTTAAATGAACATAAATAATACCAGTATGTTTTATGGTTCACAAACATACATTTTAAGTTTTTAATTTATATAATCTTTTCAGGAAGTTTTTGAAAAAAATTCTTTCTGTCCTACTTAGCCAGTGTCTCTGGACAATATTTCCAAAAAAAGGAGATGAATTTAAATTATTTCTTCTGATTTTTCACCTGTGAATCCACAGGATTTTTGTTTTTATTGTGAGTTACTGCTGATTAAGGCTTACTTTATTACAAGCTGCCTTATTATAATCTTTCTCACTTAACCACATAAAAATCTATAAATCTATTTTATTCCAATCTAAACCCAGTGGCCTTATTTGATTTTAAAACAGGTCATAGGATCAAAGTTTATATGTTTAAGTATATAGCTAGAAAATAATCAAATTACATCTCAAATTTATTTCTTCTTGTCCAAGTTTGGTAATGCTTTTTCTATTCTGTTGCCTTTTGTGCACACTAAAAGAGAAAACATATCTGTTCTACCAAAATAGTCTTAAAGTTCATGTCTATATGGGTAGATATCATCGAATCTGTTAGACATAGTAGTGAAAAGACAATCTTTTAAACTGTGTTGCAGTGAATCACAAAGGAAAAGTATTACTTTGTCTGGGCCTCACTCAACAATACGGAATTTCCAGGACCTAAATGCATTTACAGTAGAGAAAGTAAGTGACATTCCCAAACTTTACAACTTGAAATACTCCTAAGTTTAAAAGTACTGACATACACAAATGTGTACATGTGCACGCATGTGCATGCATGCATGCTAAATATAATATTTCTGTAAGATTGCAGTGGAATTGCCTTCGGATAGAGGGTCGGAATGTATAATTGTGGGAGGCAGTATATTCAGAATAGCATAGGCAAATCCACTAAAGGAAAAAACATTTGTATATTAGGAACTGCAAATACTTTGTTGTTGTTGGATTATTCAGTATAATAGAGCATTATTTAAAACTTTTTATAATACGCTAAAACCCACCTGCCTCGCAAGCACAAGGTCCGGAGTTCGTTCCCCAGTACCAAAAAAAGAAAGAAAGATATAATAAGCTAAAATGTGTCCCTAAGCAGTGAAGAAAGAGTTGGTGAAAGATCTGTGAAAACACATAAATTTTCAAATGCTATGTTTAGGTGGTAATATGGAGGGAGCCACTACAACTTCTGAACTTCTACTTAGATTGATTAAAACTGTTTAGCTTCCAGTGATTGGGTTTTTATTATTTACATATTTTAAGACAAGTTCTTACTGTGTTGCCTACACTGGTTTCAAATTCCTGGATTCCTGATCCACTTTAGCCTCCCACATAACTGGGACCTGACTGAGATGATTGTTTTTTTAAGTAAGTAACGTGATACTCTTTCCTATCCTTATTTAACATTGACTTTCTTTTCCAGCAAATGGTTATTGAAAATGCACGAGAAAAAATACTAAACAACAAGTCTCTTCAAGAAAAGCTTGCAGAAAACATTAACAAATTTTTGACTAGGTGAGCTGTATGTTTAAAATATTTAATTGTTTTTGTCTAATTGCATAATTATGCTAGATTTTCCTTTCTGTATTACAGTGATAACAATATTGTTCAAGTACCCAAGCAAACAGATAGCAACCCTGCTGAGCCAGAAGCTTCAATTGATGAACTCCTGGGACTTCCGGTATGACTAGGAGTGTGTGTGTGGTGGTGGGGGGCGGGGGGGGTAGGTAGGTAGTATTTATAGTCAGTTAAAATAGGTGATATTTTGGTTTTAATTCAAAACCATTGCCAAAAGGTTTGATGTATAAAATGTAGTTTAAAATAAGATACAGCCAGGTGTGGTGGTGCACACTTGTAATCCTAGGGCTTGGTAAAATAAGATGTAGCTTCCTTTAATTCCTAAATTAGCCAAATACAATTTGTTTCTGAGCACATTTAGATAGTGATTTTTCAGAGTCAGTTCATATTTTACTACTTACATGGTAAAAATAACAACATCTTTCTAATTCACTGAAAAGCTAACCAACTTTACCAGGCTATCAATAAAACTCATTTATCAAACATGGTTTGGGATTTTTAAATATTTAATATTTAATGATTCATTGATAGTATGTTTATTTTTGTGTATGTGATAATACTGTACAATGTTTATTAACATTTCTTCTACACTGCTACAAACTGTATAATTTAAAGAAATAATGAAATAAAATGAATCCAAGTACTATTTAAAGAAGAGTTACTAACCAAATGAATAATTGTCTGTGTGAGGCTTACTGCCAAGAGAAGAAAAGTAGGAGTTGCATTCACCATTGCTACTCAGTGATGGTGAATAAAAGAGTTGGTAAAGAAGGAATTTAACACAATATATATTTGTTTGTTTGTTTTTGGTGTTTTGAGACAAGGTCTTCCTATGTAGTTCAGCCTGTCCTTAAACTCACTATGTAGCTCAGGCTGGCCTCAAACTCACAGTGATCTCCTGCTTCAGCCTCCCAAATGCTGGGATTATAGGTGTGTGTCACCATACCCGGCAATATGTATTTTAATATTTGTCCATTTATAGTGTGCTTTTTGAAGAGCAGCTAAGTTTGTGTTTACTTGTAATCTTGGGCAGTGTAAACATTTTTATTAGCATTACTGTGTGATTTCATTATAGCGAGGTTTTTTTCATTTGATAAATTCTGAGTGAAACCAGTGACTTTTTTTTCCCCATATGCCAGCTCTATCAGTACTTCTTTAAAAAGCCCTTTCTATCTTAGCTAACAAATATATATCTATGCTAGATTTTTTAGTCTCTTAACTCCTTGCTATGTTTTCTTCACAAAAACAGATGCTTACTATAATTAATGGCACTCTTAGATTGTGTGAGAGTTACAAGAAAGTGAAGATACGCAGGGCATACTGGCACATCCCTGTAATCCCAGCACTTGTGCTGAGGCAGGAGGATTGCCAAGAGTTAGAGGCCAGCCTGAATCACAGAGCGAGATCTTGTCTCAAGAAAAGCCAAAAAAAGAAAATGACACAATGTTCTGCTCTTGGTTGTTCATATTATTATATACAGTATTTGTAAAATGTTTTAAATTCATATTTAACAGTTTTAAAAACAGCAGAGGGATTTTTTTTTTTTTTCTGGTATGGGGAATTGAACTCAGGTCCTTGCACTTGTGCAGCAGGCAGCGAAACCACTGAGCTAAATCCCTGACCAAGCAGAGGGAATTTTTAAAAAAATGCGAAGGACAAAATAGAATCTCAGTTTGTAAGCCAGTAAAACCAAGCTCAAAAGAAAGCAAATTTACAATCCAGAGTAGCACTAGTACCTCTGAAAGTAAATGTAAAAGAAAGGCTACAAACACAATAATGAGTTGCAAAACTTAGGGGGTAAACAACATATCTTTTTCCTAGTCCTTACTGTCTCCAAGAAACAGCATTGCCAGTCATAAACTCTCCCAACAAAAGAATTTGACTTGGTCAGAAGAAAAGAACTGAAAATACATAGTTTTGAAAAATTATTGTACAGCTTAGATTGTACTTCAGAGGCTCACTCCCTTCCCTTTCCCATTGGTACAGAGCTTACATATAGCTTTTAGCATGCTATTTTTAAAATAAGAGCAAATAAGTAAGCCTTAGTAAGCATTTGAAGAAAGAACTTAATATAAAGAGATCAGACACAAATCCATTTATACTGAAGAACCTATAAAGCAGTCTACAAACTTATGTGAAGAAAACAGATCACAGAGCATGATAATGATCATATTAGAGTATGATTTTATTTGTTTTTATATGTATAGATAATTGCTATATTTTATTTTAATGTTTAGGAATGTGTTCACCAAAGTGATTAACTGTAGGAAGTAAAATTAAGGAAAATTTACCTTCTATTTTCTAATCTTTATTTTCTTTAAAAATGAGCATATTTTTTACATTTAAAATCAAATTTTCTTGAAAGGGCATGCTTCAGCATAAAAATTCAGAAATATCAAATGTCTGATAAATTTTTTCTGGTGTTAAATGTTGATTGAATTAAGAGTGTGCCTTCAATTCATAATCACAGAGTGAAATCCATATGTCTGAAGAAGCTATACAGGATATATTGGAACAAACAGAATCAGACCCAGCATTTCAAGCACTGTTTGATTTGTTTGACTATGGTAAGTAGACAATTTTTTTAAGGCAGTTAGAAGAAAATAGTTTTTCTAGTCTCTGGTAACTTAACCAGCGTGAAGCAACATTACCCAGAGCATTTGAAATAGGTGCTATTTCATTAAACCCAACATTTTATGGATATTTAAAGGAATTTTGTTTTTGTTTTATTTTCAGTTAAACATCAGCTATAAAAGTAGAGAACAAGGGCCGGGGATTTAGCTCAGTGGTTTTGCCACCTGCTGCGCAAGCGCAAGGACGCGAGTTCAATCCCCGGTACCAAAAAAAAAAGAGAACAGCATGGGGTATTTTTGTTTGTTTTTGTTGGCATTTTGACCAATCAGAAATTGTTGAGGCCTACTGAAAAACAGATAAATAAAACTGAATAATATAAAATGAATACAACATACCGACCATTGCTCACAATCCTATGATCTAGTGCAGTAGTTCTCCAACTGTAGTCCCCTAAACCAACATTATGTGAGAACTTGCTAAATATAGAAATTCTTGGACTTTCCAGAAGACCTAATACAGACTGAGGTTTGAGAGCCACCAGTACTAGCCAGGCACCCTGATGTGCACATATGGACACTGAGATAAGGGATTTGCTTGAGCACAAAGGTTTGAGACCAGCCTGGTCAACATAGGTGAGACACTGTATCAGAAAAAGTCTGGTAGGAAAATAGTTCTATTCCCACTTGTAAATGACATACAAAGCAGCATATTAAAAACATCCAGAAAACCATAACTAAGACCAAGGTTTAGTATTTGTCTGACCACTGTGAAGTGGTATTAATTCATGCTTGTTTTTATTTTGGTCATTTAATTATTTCCCTGTTCCCTTTTTAACAGATAAAACAAAGAACAGTAAAAATATATCACAAAGCATTTCTAATCAGCAAATAGTCTTATCTGAAGAAACAAATCTAGTGGTTAAAAGTTCTTTTGAAAGAGAAGAATCTGGTAAGAACTTGACTTTGTTATTAACCAAAATGTTAATAGTAGTCTCAATTCAGAGGCACAAAATATTGTTTGAGTTCAAATTACTACATGGGTCAGTTTTGTATTTCTACTTTTGCCATAAGAAAAATTACTTCCAATTCTTCAGTATTTGATGATAGGTGAATTTCTTTATAACGCAGTAGTTTCTTGACATGCACAATTTAGCTGGACTCAAGTTTGAAGATTTTTAAGCTGTATCTACTATGTCCACTAAATCAGTACTTTGCACTTCTCTCTCTCATAGAATGCTAATATGGTACATAAGAGCCCATAGGAGCCACTTATTAAATGAAGGAAAGCTATAAATAAGACCGTCTTTGAGTTTTGAAACATATGCCAGTTTTTTAAAAACTTATTTTAATGTAACAGATGGGTATGGAAGTACACGATAAAAATGAATATGGCTTAGTTGGGTATGGTGGCACACACCTATAATCTATAATCCTGGCATGTGGGAGGCTGAGGCAGGAGGGTCTCTGAGAGTTCCAGGCCAGGCTGGGCTACATAGTTCAAGTCCAGCCTGAACTACATAGGAAGACCCTGTCTCAAAAAAGCAACCAAAAAAAATTATATGGCTAATTGAAATATCAAATCAAGCAAATACTGTACCCCAGTAATCATCTCAGAGTTAAAAAAGAATAGAACACCAAGAACTGTACAAACCGCTCTTCATTCCCCTACCCAGTCACTATTCCTCACCTCCCTGTTCCTCAAAGGTAACCATTATCCTAGCTTTTCACACTTCTTGCTAAACTTTGTACATTTTCAGTACCATCTCCATTCATTCTGTCTACAACAGAGTTTGTAGGCCAGGGATATAGCTAAGTGGTTCTGTCTTCTGCCCCCCACGTGCAAGGACCCAAATTAAATCCCCGGTATCAACCCCACAAAGTTTGCTATATCATCTTTTCTGCTCACCTGTTTATAAATGTTATATCACTGTGCAATTCCTAAAATACCTAATAGCTCCCAATTTTTTTACATCTTCTCTTCCTAAAACTACTTTTGAAGATTTTAGACTATATTCCTCTTAATCCTCTGCCAACACCCAAGCTCAATCCTCCATTTCTTCTTAGGCTGAACTATCATGGAGTACATATGTTTCTCACTATATGTTATGTCTAGAAGATTGTGCTTCACTTAAGCTCCACCCTGCACAAAACTTGAAATTCTCTTTTCTCATAATGTTTTTTTACTCCCCCTGCCAGCGATGGTGGTGCTCTCCTAGGTACTTGGGAAACTGAAGAAGGAGGATCACAAGTTTGAGGACAGGCTGGGCAACTTAGTGAGACCTTGTCTCAAAATAAAAAGGGGGAGTAGCTCACTGTTAGAGCACTTGCCTAACATGTGCATGGCCCAGGGTTCAATCCCCGAAACCCCCTACCCCAAACACATTCACCTCCCCAAAATTTATGTGGCCTAAATTAATTTCCTCTATTCTCCCCAACAGCAAGGATTTCAGTGGGCTCTACACCCATTTTTACTAGTGTCATAACTGTTATGGTATTTGATACACATTTTTATGGGTTTTCCCTATATTTTCTCATTTGATCAAGTCAGTGTTTTCTGCCCTAAATTGGGTATAGTTTATCAATGCTGTTTTGTTTTCTGAAATACCCTTTCCTCTTCCTATAGTATTTATTTTTCAAGATCACCTCCTTCATTAACTCTTTGTAACATTTTTTCTTGTTCCATAGATAGAAAGAGATTCCTTTTTTTCCTATGCTGTTAGTTTTCAGCATGCTTTCTTGTAACTTTGTGTTCCTTGACTGCTTTCCTAACTATCCTAATCTCTCCAAGATCAGGGAGTGGATCGTTCACACTTTGTATTCCAGTAGAATACACATCTTTGTGTTCCAGTACATGTATGGTTGGTCTTCACTAAATATGTGTTGAATGTTAAACAGTATACGGAGATCAAATATTGATCATGTAAAAAAAAATCAGATAAAATGAGGTCAGTAGAAATGGTGGAAGTTGAAAAATTAATGTAGCGAAACAACACTACTACTACTACTACTACTACTACTACTACTTGGAGACAGTTTTTCTTTGTTTTCCCTACTAGTAAATACTAGATATTCTTAAACCTCTATACTTTTTCCTTCATTATGTCATCTATTTTCTTAGAATTGGACACTTGTTTAAAAAGGCATCAGCACTAGGTGTGGTGGTACACACCTGTAATCCCAGCACTCAAGAGGCTGAGGCAGGAGGATTGCCATGAGTTCGAGACCAGCCTGTGCTGTATAGTGAGTTCAAGGCCAGGCTGAACTACATAGGGAGACCCTGTCTCAAAAAAAAGGCATCAGTAATTAGAAATGTTATCATAGATATTTTTGACTCACAGAATGGGTAGTACAATATCAGATTTCTACTTACTGTTATGCTAAAACTTTGTATGTCATTGACAGAATAGGTTGTAATAGTAAAAATGAGTGCTTCAGAAACTTAACATACTGTATCTTTCCATGATCTTGATATTTTGCAGATGGTCAGCCTGGTCAACCCCCTTGTACATCCTATCAAAATGAAGATGCACTAAATGCTTTAAAGAATGGCAGCAATCATGAAGTGCTTAGACAGGAAGCCCAGGAAGATTTTTCCCAAATAGATTCTTGCATCCAGAAAAAGGCCATTAAAACAGCAGCACCTATGGAGGAGAAGTGTGACCTTGACATTACCTTTCAGTCTGTGCCTAATTTGAATGACTTTAACCAAAGAGGAAATTCTCATGCTGAATGTAATCAGCATTGTGCTGAATTATACAACAGTCAGATCCCCCCTGAAACTGAAAGGGCCATGGAGGTTGAAAAGAATTCTTTGTCTCCAAATGTGCCCAGTGAATCTCAGTTACAGCCTCATCAGTCTGCTATACCAGTAACTTCATTAGTTACCCTTGGTGGTGAAATGAATAATGAAAACTTAATTCTCTCTGGGAAAAGTTGTCAACTTTTGTCTCAAAATCCTCCATTAACTGGAAAGGCATCTAAAAATAGTCAGTTTTGTGAAAATCTGAATACAGTAAGACTTAAAACTAATTTTCATGGTTCCAAGTCACCAGATTCTAGTGAAATTTACAAAAGTAAAATTGAAATTAATAATGTACTACCAGTTGTGTCACAACAACTCCCAGAGTGCCAAGATAATTCTTCACTTCAAAGTAAAATGTTACCTGTGTCTGTTGAAAGTTCAGCTTTACATGTATCTGAACAAATAGAAATTTGTCTCGAAGATTCAGACTCAATTAAACAACCATATAATTCCACAGCTATTGAACTAAATCATATGGAAAATGAAACTGAGCCACACAACTCTGAGGAAGTTATTTTGGATTCACAGGAGCCTTCATCTTCCGTAAAAGAAGGAGATAACATTTTTCTTTCTTTAGGTAGAACTGATAACTGTGGGGAAATTGCATTGATACCTCCAGAAGGTAACTCTATAAAAAACAATCACTCTCTTCCTTCAGAATCTGGGTGTTCTTCAGTGGGAGATTCTCACCCTGAGTCCCCAAATCCTGGTGATAAACCTTCTAGTGACAACTCTGCAGAGATAGATTCATCAAATATTGTGTCTCTCAAAATTATCATTAGTGATGATCCATTTGTTTCCTCAGATACTGAACTTAACAATGCTGTATCTAGTATCAGTGGAGAAAACTTGCCAACTATCATTTTATCTTCTCCTGCTAAATCACCTGCCAAAAATGGAGAATTAGTTAAAGGCCTGTCTTCAGAAGAAAGTGCAGGTACTGTTGTATCTGCTGCAGTAAAGGATTCAGCCTCAGTGGAAGAAAGCCTTTTAACACTCAAACCTGAGGACTCTTCAGTAAACAACGTTCAGAGTGATGACAGCACTACTTTTTCAGCCAGTGTTACACCATGCGTTTCCAAGGAAGGAGGATTCATACAGTTGATGCCAGCCACAAGCACAACTTTTGGCAACTCAAATAACATTCTCATTGCTACCTGTGTGACTGATCCAGCGGCCTTGGGAACAACTGTTAGTCAGTCTAATGTTGTGGTGTTGCCTGGAAATTCTGCACCTATGACTGCACAACCTCCTCCACCACAGTTACAGACACCACCAAGATCAAACAGTGTATTTGCTGTCAACCAAGCTGTGTCACCAAACTTTTCACAAGGTAATTGTAAGAACATATTGGAACCTGGAATCCCAGCACTTGGGAGGCTAAGGCAGGAGGATCTTGAGTTTGAGGCCAACATGGGCTTCATAGTGAGACCATGTCTCAAAAAAAAAAAAAATGGAAACAGGCTGGGGATATGCAAAACTATGTGGTAAAGCACTTCCCTACCGTGTGCAAGGCCATGGATTCCATCCCCAGCGCTGTAGGAGAAAAAAGGAGTTGGGAGCATGTTGAAATTCATTTCTCTTGTGTGTGAAGTTGTTGGGTAGGAGATAAAAAAGAATCTATTTGTATAAGAACATACACTTAAACTTTGTGATTATGCTTCTTGTGCTAATTAATTCAGTCAAATCTTTTTAAATCTGCTAAGCTATGGATTTAAGTAGTTGAATTTTTTTTCTTTTCACCATTACTTTTCAGTGTACATGTTAATAAGCTACTAAAAGAGTTAAAGAGTGATTCTGCCTGCCTCGCAAGTGAAGGGTCCTGAGTTCGATGCCTGGTACAAAAAAAAAAACAAGAAAGACTGATTTTTCACATAGCTATACCTGATAAAACCCAAATGTTATGGGAGATTTTCTTACTGTACCTGTAGTTTTCAAAGAATTTGTCATCTATTTGAAGAGACTTTCAAAAACAACCTGAATTTTTTCCTCCATAAAATCTATAATTTCTCGCTGCCTTCCATCTTCTGGAATTGATTCCTGTCTTTAGACTCCTTAGTTTAGAGGGGGCTCTTGTGGCATATTATTACAAGCTGTTTTATAGCAATTAGTGATTGAAATGCCTGTTACATTGGTCATTGATTATGTGTTCCTCAGAAGTGAAGCTTATATCACATTCATCTACAATTTTATATGTATTGTTCTTTTCCTCATCTGCCTTTTTATATTATAGGCATACATTAAAATCTGATTAAACATTAACAATCAATTATTAAACTTGGTGAGTGTTTCAAGTACTGTTTCAGTTGAGCTAAAGGAGAGGTCAGAATTGATACAGAATATGGAGCTTAAGCTAGAGCTTAGAGAAATAAAGTAGGAGATAAAAGTCTTCACAGCCAAGGGAAGCAGCACAAGCATACATAGGTATTTGAAAGACTAGTAAATACACGTAAAAGTGAGTGGATCAACCTAACAGGAACAATTAGTGAGTTTATTCAGAAAAAGTTTATTTGCATGACAGGGCTAAAGTATAATAGTTGACTGTAGTTGACTTATAAAGACCGTATAACCATTCTAATTTCTCCTTACTGGTTTTTCCTTGTTATGCATCCTTTTGGACATGCCATTGAGACATAAAACAGGGTTATGAACAGGGTCTTGCGCTATAATCATGGGGTTAGGATCCTTTCTGTTTTAAGAGTTCATACTCAAATTAGTTTCATCATTCTTTCTAGAGGAATCAAGATGGTAATTGTAATATATTCTCCTAGCTGTAGAGTCTTCTTACACTTACTCATGATGGTTTACCATGGCTAAATTATCTTGGTCATGCTATTGTTCTTAAATTAGTATTTTTTTAAAGGAGAGTAGATCATAAAGAATGGTTCATAGAATTTATTTAAAAGTGCTAATTTAATATATTATGCCAGAAGATTTGAGAGGAAATCTTACTTCAACGAAAACTCTTTTTTAGGTTCTGCCATTATAATTGCTTCTCCAGTCCAACCTGTACTCCAGGGAATGGTGGGAATGGTCCCTGTCTCTGTGGTTGGACAGAATGGAAATACCTTTTCTGCACCTCCTCAGCAGGTAAGATTTATGAACTGAAAATGGTTCACTGATGCTTTTCTTAACAGTAATTAATGGCGTCTTCTCTTGCAGGTCCTTCATATGCCTTTAGCAGCACCTGTATGCAATAGAAGTATCCCTCAATTCCCTGTTCCTCCGAAATCTCAGAAGGCTCAGGGACTGAGAAACAAGGCTTGTATAGGTACCATTTCTTTAAGTTAATTAATGTCAACTTTATGTCTATATTCATTTGTCTTCAATACCTGAAGTGTTGTACTATTCCTAACAAATGGTCATGTTAGCTTAAAGTATTATAGTAATAGATGTCACAAGGCAGCCAGTTCTATTATTGAACAGTTTTGGTTCTGATAAAATTGCTTTTAGTTGTTGACTCTTAGCGTTTGCCTGTTGGGACTTCTTTCTTTGGTGTTCCTCAGATAATCATGATCCCTCTTTCCTAACATGTTTAAAGTGTATGGTAAATGGCTTATACCTTTGTATGAGACTAGATCAGTACATCTCAAATTTTAATATGTATATGAACTACCTGGGGATTTTGTAAAATTCAAATGCTAAATTAATAGTGGTTCAGTGCCCGAGGTTTCATATTCCTAACAAACTCAGATACTGCCAGTGCTCCTCGTACAGAGCACACATTGAGTGGCGTGGCTTTAGTTTGCAGATTATCTTCTTTTGTTCTCTTCTTTAATCAGTGGCCCAGCTCTCTGGCTACCATGTCCAAAACCCAGGAGTCACTCTTAACACACATTTCTCTTTGTTCAAATATGCATTTTTCATCTAAGTTATATCAATATTGTCTTAATGTAGTCCCCCTTTGTTGTCTCTGTTTATCTGTTGGTGACTAAGTGGCTTTTCCCCCCATAATACAAATGTGAATGTGTTGATTCTCTGCCTAAAACCTTGGAAATACCCACCCACAGGATGAAATTGAAATTCCTCAGGCTGGCTTACGTACACATTTGTTAACCTCTCCATTCTCAGCTCTTACCACTTGCCAACATGGACTCTGTAACAGCAATACTTGCTATTCACCTTATACTCGGCGATCCTTTTTTATTATCCCTTTACCCATGTTATTTCCTCTTCTCAGAATTCTCTTTCCTTGTCCAGCTATCACCCTCTGATGTGTTTCTGATCCTTCAAATTTAACTCAAACATAACTTTATCCTAGTAGCTATTTATAACAAGCAGTGGCGAAGATGGGTATTCCACTTTTTTTTCTTTAGTTCATTACCTATGGTACAGCACTTAACAGATTACATGGTAAATGTTTATCTTTACATTGTGAATGTTTAGTGTTCTAAGGGCAGTGATTATACAGAGTTCACTAAATGTTATGATCAGTTCAGCTTTTCCTTATGCTAAAGGTTATCTGTCTAGTAATTTGGACTTAAGTTGTATTTTGATTTACTGGCACCCTGCTAAACTTTGTCTCATTACAGCAGCTCTATATTATTTTTATGTTCCTTCTGTTACCATGTTAGTGCCTTTTAGTGACCATTGGAAATCATTTGCACAAGCCTATCAATGGACTTTCAAGGGTTTTTTTATTTGACAAACAATGATATGATGAAAACTTTTGTAGATGGCATCTTTGTGGGCCTGTATGAATTTGTTTGGGGCATATGCCCAGGAGTAGAATATCTGAATCATGGATAAGAATTCATACTTTCATTGCTTTCTTTACTTGACCAGTAACATTGCCAGTGCTAATACCATGTAATATTTTAGCTTTTACCAATATGATGGCATGAAATGGTACAGTAATGTCTTATTTCATTTTGTTTTGTAATTACTAATAAGGTTCAGAATCATCTCTAAGAAACTGCTAATATTTCCCTTTGTATGACTTGCTTGTTCGTATCCTTTTCCTTCTCTATTAGATTTCCTATCTATTGAGATGTTATTTTTTTTTTGATATCATAGATGTCTTCTCAGTCTCACACTTGTTTTTTATGCCATTACAGAGTTAATACCAGAAAAGAAATTGGTGAAAGCTCAGTATCTATGATAAGTTTTTTTTTTTTTTTTTGGTACTGGGGATTGAACTCGAGTCCTTGCGCTTGCGCAGCAGGTGGAGAAACCACTGAGCTAAATCCCTGGCCCTATGATAAGTTCTTAAAGGCTATCTATGGTAAACATCGCTTTAAAGTTGGAAACAAAACAAGGATACTCATTCTCAGTTTCCTATATAGATACAGTAAGGAAGCATTGCCAACACCAAAAAGTTATTAAATAATCCATTTTCCCTCCTCTGACAGCTGATCTTACCTCCACCATATACAAATTCCCATATATCTGTGGTCCAAAAAAATACAGTAAGAAAATAGGTATGAAAATTTTAAAATAGAAAATGAAATTATTATGACAAATATCACGGTTTTTACACAGTAAGCCCCAGGGAATCAGTAGAATGATGAGGAGTGGTAAGAATTAAACAAGATTGCCAGGTATGATTAATTTACCAAAATTACTCTGCCAGCAATAGTTGCTAAATATAATAGAAAACAAGGCATCATTTACAATGACCACAAAAATAATAAAATGGAAAGGAATTAACCTAACCAAAAATGTTAGAAAAGGAATTTTAAATCTGTGAAAGGATCTGTAGGAAGTCCTAAATAAATGGAAAAGAGCCATGTTTATGATTCGAAGATTTAACTGTGTAAGGGTGTCAGTTCCTGGTTGAATCAAATGTTTTATAGAATTACAGTTTAAAATCCAAGTAAAATATTTTGGGGATTGGGAAAACTGCTTGTTAAATCTGTAAGAAAGAATAAATCCATGGTTAACTAAGAAGAGCAGAGAACAAACTTTACCCAGCCAATACTGAAATAGTCATGTCATAGTAATTTAAAATGAAAAAATGAATAGAACAAAATAATTTTAGAAGACTGTATATAGTATTGATAAAGGTGAAATGAGAAGTCAGACAGGGCACCATATACAAAGTAACACCATATTTTCATTCAAGACCTTGATGACTAAAACTTTTCAAAGTTCTCTAAAGTTTTTCCATGGTAGACCACATGCCATGGGTGAGGCCTTGGGTTCAATCCTAGCACCAGAAAAATGAAAAACAAAAGGTGGTTCCATTCCATATCACTTAAAAATTGATTTCTCACTTACCTGCCACTTGGCAATCATTTTAAATATTTAAATCCCTCCCATTGCCATTTAAACTCTTTAAGATTTGCACATCTCATCTGAAATACATCTAATCCCTGCCTTCTCACTTTTAGCCAGTGATTTCATCTTCCGGCTAATCAGTAGTAAATTTCATTTCCAATATCTCCTATTCTGTGTGTACCTGTTCTACTTCCAACATCATCCTCTTTTCCCATCTCTTGTCGGGGAAATACTATGTCTGTGCTGAAAATGTATAGACTTTTCTTGTCGTTGTTCTCTATACTGTTTACATGACATTTCCATTTTAATAACCTTTGAGATGTGTATCTAACCTGCAATTTACAGCCCTTTTGTCCTCTTTTTACTGTTACAACAAACATGAAAAAGTATCTACAGAGTTTGGTATCTATGAGAGCCTTAGGACCATTCCTTCTCTGGTGCATGACTGTAGTACTACTTTATTTATTTATTTATTTTTAATTTTATTTTTTTTTGGTACTGGGGATCGAACTCAGGTCCTTGCGCTTGCAAGGCAGGCGGCGGAACCACTGAGCTAAATCCCCAGCCCAGTACTGCTTTTTTAAAACCAGTATATAGGCATTAAAACTTTTCTTACCATATGTAATATTGTCATCTGTTGCATCCTTAATTCCAGGAAAGCAGGTCAATAATTTGGCGGATTCATCAAGTTATTCAGTTGGATGTCATGCACAAAGGTGAGTACCAAGTAGTTTCTATCATAGATTATTTGAATGCTCAGCTTAAAAACATAAAGGATTTCTTTATGTTGCTAAATAATTCTTTTTTTTTTGGTAGAACTGAAGTTTCTGACAAGAATAAGGCCACAGGACTTGGGAAAAAAATGGAAGAAATCACAGTTCCCTTCTCAGAAGAGAGCATGGTTCCAGTTAGCAGACCATTTGAAAGCCATAGACGTGTGCTGTGTTTTGACAGCACCACTTCTCCAGTGGCAAACACGCAGGGGTCAAGCCATAAGATGGTATCACAACACAAAGACAGGAGTGAAGTTTCCTTTTCTCATCTTGACTCACCCATTGTGTCCTGCACGTTAAAACCCCCTTCTAATGCTACCAAAAAAGAGAGAGAGAAAACACCTATGCCTAAGATTTTATCTAAGTCAGAAACTGCTATAAGTCGGCATACCACCATAAGAGAAGCTCAGTCAGAAAAGAAAGTTGCACCTACAGAAACGGTATTTGAATCCTTCCATAAAGCAACAGCTAATAAGGAGAACGAATTATGCAGTGATGTGGATAGGCCGAAAAATTCAGACACTTCAAAATTGTCTATTGGGCAACAAAATGGGAGTTTACGAAATGAGAAAGCAGTAGCTTCCCTGCAAGAACTGACCAAAAAACAAGCTACATCTTCAAACAGTAAAAATGTTATTTCAGTAGGTACAGCTATGAAGGAACTAAAACAAGAACAAACTAAATCTACCAACTCTTTGAGTACCACAGAAATATTACATGATGTTCAGTTGCACAGCCCAGTAAATAGACTTGCTGATAGTAGTGATTTGCCTGTTCCCCGTACACCTGGCTCAGGAACGGGGGAAAAACATAAAGAACCTACAGATGTCATCAAGCCCCCCTCTAGTAGGCGTTTTGGTGATGACAGTAGCACACCAAAAGTAATGATCCCTCCTGTCACTCCAGACTTGCCTGCCTGCAGCCCTGCCAGTGAGACAGGCAGTGAAAATAGTGTAAACATGGCTGCCCATACGTTAATGATTCTCTCCAGAGCAGCCATTTCCAGGACTACTTCCACAACTCCTCTAAAAGACAACACCCAACAATTTAGAACATCTTCAAGGAGCACCACAAAAAAAAGGAAAATTGAAGAATTAGATGAGCGTGAGCGGAACTCCCGCACTTCTAGTAAAAGTCTTGCAAATTCATCGATACCAATGAAGAAGAAGAAAATTAAGGCAAGTTTTAAAATTCTAATTTCAAAACTACAGCTTTCCTTCCTTCAGTGCTCAGAGAATTCAGCAGTTTTTACCACAACAACCTGATCAAATATTATGTTTAACACCCCATTGAGCTTGATTGTCAGAATGCGTTTAAATAGCAGTGTTTCTTAGTCATTGTGCTGCTTAGAAGTTGTGTATCCCAGCACTCAAGAGGCTGAGACAGGATTGCTGTGAGTTGAACGCCGATTAAACTACACAGACCCTATCAAAATATTTTGTGTAGCCACCTGCCTTGCAAGCACAAGGTCCTGAGTTCGATCTCCAGTATCCAAAAAAAAGTTTTGTGTAGATGAAACAGCATTTTCAAGACAATTGCTGAGGCATGTAGCTATAAACATCTTCATTGGGAAAGGCAAATGTTTTGTCATGGTAGGACACAGGTTTTTTTATGTTTATGAGAATGACATAATGTGAAAGATTGGAAAACCACTATTATAAAATTAGCAAATACAGTGGTGCCTCAGTCCACAAACACTTGCTTGCAAACAATTTGGTTTACAAACAAGTGTTTGGCAAAATTTTGTTTTTGTTTGCAAACTGTCAAGTGACAAACATGACAGCGGCCATCTTTCCTGTACAAACGTGGCCATCTTTTCCAAAATCATAGAACAAATTAAGTTTGTGAACTGAGGTGCCACTACAGAACACTACTGTGCTCCTCTTAGATAGATCTGGAGGTTTTCACATGTCTTGTCATCTCTATAGCCATTGAAGTGTTAATGTGGTGGGGCAGTGTACCTGTGGGGGATTTTTTTTGTTGTTGTTAAACATGGTTGTCTGTCATAAGGGAGTGCAGGGATAGTAGCATTGATGAATGAAACCTATTTGTTTTAAAGTTGTTTAATGCTACTTTTAGTCATTGGATTGAATAGAAATTGTTTAAAATATATTGTATGAAGGAAAATCTTGATTCACTGCCCTGAAAGCCTGGGTTTGAATCCTCCCAGTGCTATGTACTGACTCTGTGACTGACGATGGTTAAGTGTAGCTTCTCTGTTTATTAGCCTCATCAGTTTACATGATGTTACCATACCTGTTCCCTTGTGGTTTTGGGGACTACATATAGTGTATGTAAAATATCTGGTGTATATTTAATGTCTGGAATTTGATAAGTGCCTGTTACTATTGTCGGTTCATAAAGCTTTCTGAGGTTTATGGCTTAATGGTAACAATCACTTTATACAGACATATTCTATCTTGTCCCATTCAGCATTCTTAGGCCCTGGATTTGTGTAATGTCTTTTGCCCTAGACAGATGTTGAAGTACCATTAAAATATAAGATGTGTTTAAAACACGTGGTGAAACTTTTGTTTTTAACTTATTAAAATGAAAGACACATTGCCATTAATCCCCCTCAAAATACTCTCATTTCAAACATACTTAAACCCATCATTCTTGCCACTTTCTGACATGAATGTCTGTAATTGTGCTATTATGACTGCCTGAATGTTCTGAATCAATTCAAAATGTTTACTTTCATGGTCATCTTGAGTTTGGGGGAAAACTAGAAGTCACAAGATGCCAGGTCCAGTGAATAAAGTGTATGAGGACACACACACACACACAGAGTAATGTTTTTACAAGCCTGCCTTTCCATTGGATGCCCCTTGGCAGCATTTGTCGTATTTTTTTATCATACTTCATAAGGACAGGAAAGAGGACTTCCAGAATTGCTTCAGAAAGTGGCAGAAATGATGAGATAAGTGTCCTCAAAAAGAGTGGGGCAGGGCCGGGGATTTAGCTCAGTGGTTCCAGCTCCTGCCTTGCAAGCTCATGGTCCCAAGTTTGATCCTCGGTACAAAAAAAAAAAAAAAAAAGTAGAGTTATTTTGAGGAAGATTAATGGCAATGGATCTTTTACTGTAATTTTTTTAACACTATATTATCATCACACTTCATATATTAACTCTTGGTTTATACATCTCTACTTCTATACAACTAAAATTCTAAAAGATCAAAATATTTTGGCAATTTTAGTAGTATATGGAAGAATTCAACATTATGTTGTAGATGTCTTACTGAGAAAACTGGCCTTATTATTTTCTTCTTTTTTTTTTTTTTCTCCCCGCAGAAAAAGAAGCTACCTGCTTCATTTCCAGCAGGAATGGATGTGGACAAATTTTTGTTATCATTGCATTATGATGAGTAAACATTCTAAACACTTAAGAACATCAGTTGTTTAAAACTTGTATTCCTGAAACCATGAGTGTGGGGAATGGGACATTGACAGAAATTGAAAACATGACCTGCACTTTTCATTGAACTAAAATTTCACTTTATACCTGATCATGCTGTTTCTGAAGCAGCACCCTAGTTTGTAAATAGACTTATTATATTTCTATTTTGGAAAAAAAAATTAGCAGAAATCTAAGTAAAGCCAATCTGCAAAAACTGTATAGCTTTGACAATTGGATATTGTAAATATTGTGTAAATCTTGTGAAAATAGAGTTTAAATTACCTAACGTTCTTACACTGAGTTTTTTGACTTATGATCCTTAATTGGGGTTTATTCATCTGGAATAATATCTCATTTCTTTTGAAGGAAAATGTTCCTTATCCTTACAAATTACCTTCAGTCATTATTCAAAAAGATACTTAAATATATAGCCACTAAGTGCAAAAAATAGTAACCATCTCAACTGGTAGTAAAGTGTCTAATCAGAAATAATCAGTTTGATGGATTTTTCCCCCTAGACTCAATTGCGGTAAAAACTATCTTCTTAAAATTTTACGATTTATTTCTTATGGTCATTCTGTTCTCTTAGTTTCAAAGAGAATTTTGTAAACCATTTATTGAGTGTTCTGATCTTTCCTTTATAAATCTTTTATAGAACATTAAGTGGTTAGACTGTTGAGCCATACAAAGTTGAGTTATAGAGTAGTTGAGATTTCTTGGTATGTATAAACTTCCCCCCAAGCACTAGGGATATAAAGAATTGCACTAATTCTTCACATAGTAGTGACCAATGCACATTTAATTTATATCTTGTATTTTAAGTTAAAGCTTATATGGAGGAAAATCATGTCCATCAAAAGATGTAAAAAACCATAATTTTATATTTTAGTTTCTCCTAAAATGGGGTTTGTTAAATAACAGTATCCACACTTAGATACAGCACGTTGTCTGTCCCTTAAAGTGTTACAAAAGATACTCTCAAAAAGTCCTTAAGGGTGAGTGAGAGAGGTGCCTTCTCTGTATTCAACTCTCATAACAGCAGTCAAGTTGAAGAACCAGTTTAAACTTTTGAATGATAACAAATTACAATTAATACCTGACCGATTGTGCCTAGATATTAAAGTATATTTAAATGCTTTCTGTTTAAATGTTAGTACATTAGGCTTTTTTTACACAGGTGTATATTTTGTTGAAAAGTCACTTTCCTCAACCATTTTTTGTACTGGGCCTTTAAAAAAATAAATCCATCCTATTCTAATACAACAGTTTTCAATGTAGAAATCATTTCTTCATTGCTGAACTTTACTGTAGAAATTTCGTGATAATAAGAAATTTTTGTGATATGACAGTGGTCTCAAACTGAATATCATAAAATTAATTTTACTTGATACTGTACTAGTTACGTTTGAATACTTTCATTAACTTCTGCACTTTAAATTATATTGACAGCTAGTTAGAAACATGATTATATTACATAACAAGTTCTTGTTTATTCCTTTTCATAAACTGATACAGTACTTAAAATTGCAGATTTTCCTCTCCTCTAGTTAATATTCATGTGTTAAGTTCTGAGAATTCATATACAGATCTGAAATTTGTTCAGTATTCTTTTTTTTTTTTCTTTTGGTACCAGTGATCGAACTCGGGACCTTGCGCTTGCAAGACAGGTGCTGGAGCCACTGAGCTAAATCCCCGGCCCTGTTCAGTATTCTTAAATAGGAACCACAAGATAAAGTCAATTGTACTTGGAGGTTTTGTGTTTAAGAGGTGAACCATAATCCTCATTTTTCCGTAAAAAATCCAAATGTCCTGCACATCAACTGGACTGTTATACTTTTTAATCTGTTTTAACAGTCAAATGCTCAGTGACTACATTTTAGGATTGAAGAATACCACAAACAACAATGGATAGCTATTTTTATAACTACCTGTAAGGATCTAGTCTCTAAGTTGGACATTACATAGTGATTAATGTAGTCAGTGGATGCCAAATCTGAGAAGTCTTGTAATTAAAATACTTGATTATTTTAACCCTGGATATCATTAGAGCCCTGTAGTTTTTTGAAATTGCACCTGAGTAAAGCATCCATCATCCTTCAAGCAGAGGCTAAATGTCATGACTGTTAGAGAAATGAATATTGGGCTTTTGCTAATGAGTAATTTCAAAAGCATATTACTCTCCACTCTGCATTCTACCTCCATCCCAGTACTGAGGATTGAACCAGGAGCCTTGTGCGTGCTGGGTAAGCCCTCTACACTGAGCTAGATCCCCTGCCTCATCTGCATTCATTCTTTACCAAGTGAGTGTTTTTCAGGCTCAGGCCTTCTTGAAGTTATGTATCAAGTTTTGACTTTATTATTGTACTTCTGTAGGGGTTTGTTTGTTTTCTTTTTTCTTTTTTTTTGAGACAGGGTCTCTATATGTAGTTGAGAGTAATCTTGAACTCACTAGGTAGCCTAGTCTGGCCTTTGAACTCAAGGTGATCCTCCCACCTTAGCCTCCCAGGTGTTGTGATTATAGGCTGCACCACCACAAATGGCTGAGTTATATTTTAGTAATCCAAATTATTCTGAATTATGAAACTCAGGTAACCTCCATGGTTTAGTCAAGAAGTTCGGACCTGAATTATATTTATACATAAATGTGCACACTTTTTTACTTTGATATATAGACTATGATATGTCATGATTCATATAGCTTTATATTCATTGTTGTTTGAATATTCACATCTTTTATACTTCCGATTAACTTTAGAATCACTTGCATTTCAGATATGGCAAGTAACAAAGTTTTATAGTTAACCTCTCTAATAATTTCTTGATAAACTAGCTGGATTTTTTTCTTTGTCGCTGTTTTTAGAGGGCTCTTCATTCTGTAACCACTTCAACTGGTTTTGTGCTTGTATAACATAAACTTTTTACAGAGGGATAACATGTAAACAGAAAAGTGTGCACAACTGTAAGTTTATGCACTTGAATTAATTTTCTGAAACGTGTAATCATCCAGATCAAGACTAGAACATTACTAGTACCCTAGAAATCCTTTACACCTTCTTCTACAGTGGTAACTGCCAGCCCAAAAAGTAATCATTGTACTGACTTCTAACACCATAGACTAATTTTTAGGGGTTTTTTTATTTATATAAACAAGTTCATGTGGTATATAGTCTCTGTGAGATTTACTCATGTTTTGTTTAATGCAGTCATCCTCAGTGCTGTTTACATTTGCATTGTGTATCACAACCCATTTTATAGATATAAACATAAATCTAGTTTGGGGCTATTATGAATTAGAACTGCTATATTCTTTTATATGTTTGTGGGGGTGTGTTACACTTTTCAGTTGGCTATATACTGGGGAGTGCAGTTGCTGGCCCATAACATCGTTGCTTATTTCCAAACTGAATTGAATATGTGTGTTTTTTAAGGTTATTTATTATACTAACTTACACACTCAACAGTAAGAGGAGTGTTCCATTTATTCTACACTAATACTAGGGCTTGGTATTTTCATTTCATTTTAGGCATTTTGATGGAGTATGTACATATGCACTGTGGCTTTGTTTTTTCCTTTCCGATGATGCTAAATATGTTCTAAATATTTATTGGCTACTTGGTTATCTTTTGTGGACTATCCGTTGATGTGTTTTGCCCTATTTTGTGCCAAGTGGTCTGCGCTTTTCTTAATGATATGTACCTGTTCCTTTTGTATTCTAGATATTCTTTATCAGATAGCTATCAGGTATCTGAATATTTTACATTTTTTTCCTAAAAGCTTTTTTATTCAGTGTCATATAGTTTGATTGATCACCCACATGGAATTGATTTTCCATATGGATACGCAGTTAACCCCACAGTACCATTTATTTACAAAGACCATCCTTCCCCAGGTACAATGCTGTGTTACCTTTGATTTAAATCTGCAAACTATATATACATGGGTTTATTTCTGGGCTTCAGTCTATTCCATTGGACTGTTTTCTTAAAGGTTTGCCTGTCACAGTCCGTCTTGATTACAACAGGAAATCTGTTGATTTTTAGTTTCTATTTTCTGCTCTGAGTGAACTTCACTAGTGCTAATGGATTTTCCAGTGCTTTTTTTTATTTAATAAGGATGTATCCTCTGTAATTTTTCCAATTTTGTTTTATGCTATACTGATTAGCATTTTGAGTACAGTGAATAATGATGAATAATGAATCCTCATTCCCCATTTAAATGAGAATGTTAAGAATAATGTTGACTTTATTTGTAGCATTTTTGTTTTATTTTGCAGTGTCTGGGATAGAAACCAGTGCACCCTGCAGGCTAGGCGTTGTGTATAGTGTTTTAAGAATTTACCTCAGCCAGGCATTGTGGCACACACCTATAATCCCAGCACTCAGGAAGCTAAGCAGAAGGATCACTCCAAGGTTGAGGCCAGCCTGAAATACATGGCAAGACTCTCTCAAACCCCATCCCTGCAGATTATCTCAGGAGTACCTGTTCAACTTAATTAGGTGCTATTATAACATCAATTAAAATATTTGCATTAGAGCTTGGTTTGGTGGCACATGATCCCAGTATCCTGAGAGGCTGAGGCAGGAGGATTGCAAGTTCAATCCCAGCCTGGGCAATTTAGCAAGATTTTAAGAATGGATTTTTTTTTTTTTTTTTTTGTACCAGGGATCAAATTCGGGTCCTTGAGCTTGCAAGGCAGGCAGCGGAGCCACTGAGCTACATCCCTAGCTCCTTAGCAAGGTTTTAAAAAGAGGCTGGGGATGTAGCTCAGTGGGAAGGCCCTGGGTTCAATCCCCAGTATTTAAAAAATTGCATTAGGCCCGCAGATTTATTTTTATATTTATTTTTATATTCTAATGTTCTATACGTTATGATCTTTTTGTTTGTTTTTGTTTGTTTTGTTTTAGAACAGGTTCTCGCTCTGTACTCTAGGCTGCCCTGAACTCACTCTGTAGCCCAAGCTAACCTTAAACTCTCGGTTGATCCTCCTGCCTCATCCTCCCAGATGCTGGCATTACAGTTGTGTGCCACCACACCCAGCTCCTTTTGTGATCCTAATGAATGCCTTTTAAACTATAAATTTGATTTGTGGAAATTTATTTAAATGTTTACTTTTAATGAAATTGGTTTCAAACTTACACAAAATCATAAATTATTTTGAAGCTTTTTTTTCTAGTTTATCTAAATGTTGTGGATAATAAATAGTACCAGTCTTAAGGTTGAAGTCTAAGATAGAATATGTAAAACCATTCAAAGCAATGCCTGGACAATAAAAACACAAAAAGTACCTTAAAAATGGTGATTGTAGCCAACTGTTACATATCTACGTACATACATGTACATATGTATGTGTTTTTTCATTCCTCTGCAGCAATGTACTTAGAATAGGAATGACAGTAAATCATCTAGTGTTCCAATTTATTTTCTCTGAAATTTCTTCTAGGCTGATTTATCTATACAGTCTTAAAGCTCTTTTTCATCTTAATTTCTGCGTGAGTTCTCTAAAATGCCACTAAAACACCTCTTTAACAGTGGTGTACTTTTTTGGGCCAGGGATTTAGCTCAGTGGTGCTGTCACAAGTGCAAGGTCCTGAGTTCGATACCCGGTACCAAAAAAAACAGTTGTATACTTTTTTGGTTTGCTAATTTCTGCTTTATTCATTTGTGCTTTCTTTTTTCCTCAGGGTCCTTTTTGCATGTTACCTGATTTTTTCCTTTTCAAACCATATAAAGATTTGAGGTTACGAATTTAACTGATTTCAGTTTCAACCTCAAAGCCTGGAAGATTGATGAGTTCTTTGTAATCAAACTCTAGAAGATGAGGGTAAGTATAATTTTTTTTATACCTTTGACATGATTACTTAGAATAAGTGCATCATGTTCTTAGGCTTAAATTTTTTTTTTTTTTTTTTTGGTACCAGGGATCAAACTCAGGTCCTTGAGCTTGCAAGGCAGGTGGCGGAACCACTGAGTTAAATCCCCGCCCTGGCTTAAGTTTTTATTAGTACAGTCAAAGGATATGTGAATTATTTTTTCCACTGTTGGGGGTCTAACCTAGGGAGGGCTTCAGTCCACCACTGAGCTACAGGTTCAGGGGAAGGAGAAAAAAATAAGAATCAAGAGAGATTATGTAAAGGTGCAAATTTCCAATGATTAATGTCATTATATTGTATACCTAAAATGTACCAATAAATTAAATTTTAAAAAAATTTTGTATAAATGTGTATCACTGCTTGCTATGGTTAGATAAGTATTCTTGAGGTCAATGTGTTAAAGGCCTGGGCATCAGCTTGTGACGTTACAGGGAAGTGGTAGAACCCCATGGGGGCTATTAGAAGTCAGGTCACTGGGGATATGCCCTCAAAGGGGATTAAGGGACCCTGGCCCTTCACCTCTTCCTCTCTTTCATTCTGAGCTGCCTTTAGATGAGCGTTGCTCTGCCATGAACTTCCCAGCATGTTATGTGCCCCACCAAAGGGGTAACAGATCATAGAACAGAACCTCTGAGTCTAAGCAAAGCTTTCTTGCTGGGGAGCCTATAATCCTAGCAGTCGGGAGGCTGAGGCAAGAGGATCTCTGTGAGTTTGAGGCCACCATAGGCTACATATAGTGAGTTCAAAGCTAGCCTGGGGTACAGGGAGACCTGGTCTCAAAAACAATAAAGAAACCTTCCCAATTTTTTATTAGGTATTTTTTATCAGTAATACAAAACTTAACAGTGCTTAAAAATACATATTGTTTATAAGGGTACAAAGTTTGATATTTATCCAATTTTATAATATTCAAATCCCATCTTATTTTGTTTTTAACAATTCTTTTCATAAATGTTCAATTTCCCATCATAATTATTTTACCATAGTTTTTGCTTTGTTTTAATGTTGCTCAGTGTGTGATCTATACCTTATCTTTGGAGACAGGGTCTCACTAAGTTGCCCAGGCTATGCTCATACTTGTCAGCCTCCTGCCTAGGCCTCCCAAAGTGCTGGATTTCAGGCCTGCAGCACTGCACCTGGCTAATCTTTTCTTTATGTGAATTCTTTTCCTATTTTAATGCTTTCTGCCTTCTAATTATTTAGTATATATGCCAATCCTTTTTTTTCTTTATAAATAAATTTTTCCAACTACAAAGTTCATCTTTTATACTTTTTTTATGGTATAAGGATGGGATAGAAACAAGGGCCTCATGCATACTAGTCAAGAACTCTGTTGCCAGGCGTGGTGCCACATGCCTGTAATCCCAGCACTCGGGAGGCCAAGGACTACATGGTGAGTTCAAGGCCAGCCTAAACTACATAGCAAGACCTTGTCTCAAAAAACAAAAAATGTCTTACTGAGCTCCATCACCATCCCATCTTTAACTTGGAAATAGTCTTGCTAAATTGCCCAGACTGGCCTCAGACTTGTAAGCATCCTGTCTCAGGGTCTTGAGTACCTGTGATAAGGTGTAAGCCACCATGCCCATTGTCTTCTATGCTAATAAAAGATGTAGAACTTGTCCTACTGGTATTTACCTTTATTTAGCATGTATGTATTTACCCATACTTACCACTGTTTCTTCATCCCCAGCAGTCCGGAATTCCTAGTTGTTCTTTCCATGATCTGCTCTAAACCTTTGTCATTTTTGGAGAAAACATTTTGGAGTATTCTACTTTCGAAGCTCTTGGATCTCTAAGATACTCTTTCTAGTATTTTCTAACTTTATTCCATTAAAGGTGTGTGGTCTGGGGCTATAGCTCAATAATAAAGAATATGCTTAGTATATACAAGGCCCTGGGTTCAATCCACAAAATCCCCCCAAAAAATACCTGTTGGCCATCCTGCATGTAAGAGAAGTATGAAGGTTACCTGTTTTTCTACCAGTTGTTTGAAGAATTTTAATGTTTTCTTCAGAATTCTTAGTTCTCCACTAATAGATTTTACTGATGAAATATGCTGGGGGGTTTTTGCTATTACAATTTATTTTATTATGTTGGATCGCTGCTTCAGTGTCCCATTTGTTTTAACAAACACCATTTAGTTGTCAGTTCTTTACCTCTTCTCCCTTCTCTCCATTTTTTTCCAGAATCGTCAGGCTGCTTTTCATGTGTCCAGATCACTGACCTATAGATGCAGTTAATTCTGCTTTTCCTAGTGCTGTTTTAAGTTCTTTAAGTTAGGGCAGATACTCACTTAGTGTATTGAAAGGTGATTAAAGCATAAGACAAGAATTTGGACTTTATTAGACAAACTTGTATTTGAACCCCAGCTCAGCTGTTTGACCCTGAATTTATTTAGCAACTCCATGGCTGTTTCCTTACCTATATGGGAGAAATAATAATGGTTCCTGCCTAGTTGTAGTGATGATTAAAAGTCTTAAGGATAAGTTGTACCTTAGTTCATGATCTCAGTTTGTTCTACAATGCTGGAAAAGACAGCCACGTTCATGTTCATGTGGGAAAGATGGCCAAGGTCGTGTTTGTCACCCGATTCAGAGTTCACAAAAACAAAATTTTGCCAAAACCTTCAGTTTGTGAACTCAATTGTTTGCAAACGAAAGCATTTGTGAACTGAGGTACCACTGTACTTAACACATAAAGAGCCTCAAAAGTTCTTTGATTACAGATGTTTTTAAAAATATTCTTCCCTTGAATCTTAGGACCAGTAGTTCTTTTTTCCCCCCATATATGATCTGTTTCTTCAAAGATAAATATCTATAATAATAATTTGCCAAAGCACCTTTACACAGTGACTTGACTGCCTCCCATTTATTTACCACTGAGTTGGAGTTTTTCTTTTTCAGGGCTGCTTTTGAGGTTGGAGAACAGGCCCATGTCTGCAGTGGTTTTTCCAGATAAATACAATTCAAGTGACTCATGCTACAATATTCCCTGTCTAAGAATACGCATTGTGGCATGCTGGAATTGGCAATCTTCTCATTATAACTCTTCATCCTGTCCATTTCCACATTCTTTCTCATTCTCTGTGCTGTCATAATTCAGATCCCAGGATTTTGTTTGATTTCCTATACCCCCAGCCCTGAATTCTGAAGTTGTAAGAAATTGCCTAGACTCTAGACATGAGCGTATCATTCTCTTAGTTTCCATTGCATTGTTTTCTGCTGTGATTTTTTTTTTTTTTAGATTCTTACTATGTAGTCTAGGCCAGCCTCATACTTGCTATGTAACCCAGGGTGCCTGGATTCAAACTCAACTCTCCTGCCTCAGCTTCCTGGGTACCAGGATTACTGGCATGCACCACCATGCTCAGCTTGTCTGTGGCTTCTTGACTAATGCTAAAAGGCACTGCTGGTTTACTCAGAATAACCAGCTCTCACTTTAAGAATCTACTAAAAGTAAATTACCGATGAATAACATTCATTTGACCTTTAATAAACCAGATATAAAAATTGTGATTTGTTCTCTGAAAGGGACACTTCCAGCTACTTGTATAAATCATCAGTAATTGCACACAGATTCATACTGTAGAAATATATCAAACTTTTTTTTTTTGGTACCGGGGATTGAACTCGGGTCCTTGTGCTTGCGCAGCAGGCGGTGAAACCACTGAGCTAAATCCCCGGCCCTGTATCAAACTTTTAAGAGTGTCAAACTTTTTTAAATGAGAGTATCCAAAAATTAAAGCAGAAGAAAAAAATGTAATGTCAAGAGGTTTGGGGATATGATCATTTTTATTTTTAAAAGTTGAAATAGAAATTAATAATAAATGAAAGAGTTTGGATATAAGTTGCCCCAAGGGAGTCACAAAGGGCTCTCTCCTGAAACAGCAGAGGCTACAGCTTCTGAATCAGCAGCGCAGAGGCTCCTCCTCCTCCATTGCAAATACTGGCAAGACCATATTCTCCTTGCTTCAGGGCATGAGCCAGATGAACCACAATCCTGGCTCCAGACATCCTAGGATTAAGAAAGCATTTTGTTTCTTTGATGTAGAACAGATTTTATAACTAATCAGAAAATGTCTCTATTACAAATTAACTTCTTGAAAAAACTATTAGCTACTACTTATAGCTGAATTAACTACTTTTCTTAAATTTAGGACTTTTGTTTCAGGAAGGGTTATGGCTCTTCTTAGAAGCCTGAGCACAGATTTTAGTTTCTCTTTTAGGATTCAACACTGTTGGGTTTCGAGCAGTAGATGTTGGATACCAGAAATGGTGGCCACCTTACAAAGGATATATGGGAAGGACAATTTAGCAACAGGAACATCATGAATCAGCTGCAGTTTAAATAGATTTACAAAGGTAGCTATTAACCTAGAAAATATTTTACTTACCCAATTGGATGCCCCAGAGAAACAGCTCCCCCATTAATATTCACTTTTTGGGGATCAATCTCCAGCATTTTAATGTTTGCTAGTACAACCACACTAAAGGCTTCATTTACTTCCCACATTGCAATGTCTTCTTTTTTCAGTCCTGCATCTTTAAGAACCTAAACATTTTTAAAGGATGATGTTCAAATAGTCATAACTTATTTTCATTTTTTTGACATTCTGTAATTATGGTTTGCATTTCCCTTTGATGTTAAGTGTTTAAAATGTGGCGCTTTTTAATTTCTAAAGGATCTTTTCCTCATGTTTTTGCTTTAATTTTTCATCTTACTGCGTTACAAAGAATCTTATTTGCATTATGTCTATTTTGAGATAGAGAAAATTTGAAATTTTTGAACATTCCACAATTGCTTAAGGTGCATACCTTATTTGAGTATACAACTTTATATAAGACATGACTAAATGATATGTTGCTTAGTTTTATATTCTTGATCTGTAAAATTAAGTTGATTTGTCTCCTATTAGGTTTGTTTTTCCTTGTATCTCCTTAAGTTTCTGCTTTTAAAAAGTTATGGGGCTGGGGCCAGGGATTTAGCTCAGTGGTGCTGCCGACTGCCTGATAATCACAAGGACCTGAGTTCCATCCCCAGTACCAAAAACAAAAAAAAGTATGGGGCACTGGGTGTGCTGGTGCATGCTTGTAATCCTAGCACTTGGGAGGCTGAGGCAGGAGGATTGCTGTGAGCAGGAGACCAGCCTGGGCTATATAGTGAATTCAAGGCCAACCTGCACTACATAGCCAGACCCTATCTCCAAACAACCAAAAGTTACTGGGTTGTTTGGAACACATATATATCTGTTGTGAAGTCTTTAATTATATGACATTTTGAGTTTCTCAGCTATGTATGAAGGTATTTTTGTGTTCGTGATTATCCTTTATCCTAATACTTTCATAAAAATTTTTCCAGTGTCCTCTTTCATTAGAAGTTTCATCTTTATGCTTTGTAATGTGGGTGTTGACTCTTAAAAGCTGTACATTCCTTTATCTAGATGCTGTTCTCAAGAGCTGCATGCTTGGATGAGACCCTTTCTCCGGAGGGAATTTCTGCTGGAGACTCTCATCTCCTCAGCACTTTCTTCGTGCCCACTTCCTGCACAGACGTGGTCATTTTTCCCTCTGGTAACACTGGCCGTCTGGAATATGTAGGTTTGCTGTGTCTGGTTTTACCCTTGCTCTCTGACCTGCTGCCAGTAGGTCCCTTTCAGGATAGAGACATCTCTTTTTGGAAGTGACTGTTTGCTTTGCATTCTAGATCTGGAACTGCCAGTATTTACCTTTCTTTGCCACACCAGCTTCCTCCTTTGTCTTTACTACACCAGGTGTGTGCATTCAACATCATACTTAAAAATAATTCAATTATTTTATCTGTTCTAGTGAAGATGTAGTTTGTGGGTTGCTCTGTTATTTTCAGGAAAAGTGAGAAGCTATCTGTGCTCTTGCAAATGAAACTGACCTTGTTACAAGCAAACCAGAAGTTAGCACAGTGGGGTACAGTCCCTCACTTTTTCTCACCTTAGGTACAGCATAGGCAGGTGCAAGTGGAAAATCAATGGGGTCCACAGCAGCATCAGCAAATGCTGTAATGAAAGATTGTTACAATCTTTTACCAGCATCTAAAGCTTTATCTTTTATGTATGATATGCAAAACCCGAGCTAACCTTTTATATTTTTCATGTAATTTTTGGTAGATTACTTTTTTTTTGGTACTGGGAATCGAACTTAGGACCTTGCACTTGCAAGGCAGGTGCAGCGCCACTGAGCTAAATCTCCAGCCCTAGATTACATATTTTTAAAAATTGATTTTGACAGTTTTTGTTTCATCTGCAGATTATAACAAATATCAAAGGAGTGTCTGTCTCAATTGAAATATGTATCAATATTTGAAATAAGTTAAATGCTGTCACAAAGCACAATCTGCAGATAGAAATGGCCAACTCCTTTGTCATGTATTACCAGCAAAGAGAGTCAGTTTCAGGAAGAACTTATCGAAGTTTAGAAATAAACAAGGGCAGAACATCTACCTGTTATTCTTGCCAGCGGCTTAACGTTGAGCCTTTTGGCTGCACCTGCAGTCATCAGAACCACGGCAGCTGCCCCGTCATTCAGTGTGCTGGCATTGGCTGCTGTTACTGTGCCTGAAAGTAGCATTAAGCATGAAGTCAAAACACAGCTTCACATTGAATTCATCTGGTTCAGTTCTGACCAGTACCTCCAGAGTATGTCTGGGTTGCTGGATTTATGAAATCATTTCCACCCTCAAGAAACATGTATAAAGCTAGCCACAACACGATGTACAGTGCCTTGTATTAGTGTTCAATAGTTTTCTCAAAGCTAGCTCAGAAACATGCATGATGTCACTGGGTAAATAAATGCTGGTCAATGATTCAAAGATAGAGAAGGACTGGTTCATGTTTTTCTTCCCAGCATTTAACTCTTGGCATAAATAAAATATACCAAATGTTTACCACATATTTTCCAAATCAGTGTCAAAATCAGGTATTTCTTCAGAATCACTTGAACTTTGTTAATGAATACTGTAAACATCATTAAACTATACAATTTAAACACAGGAATGCTATAGGATATAAATGATAGAGAAGGGTTTGGGGTTTTTTTGTTTAGGGTTTTGTTGATAGGATCTATACTGTGTAATCGAGGCTGGCCTCAAATTTGTGATCTTCCTGCCTTAGCCTTCCAAGTGCTGAGATTACAGACATCTGTCCCCATACCTAGCAAAGCTGGATTTTTTTTGTTTGGTTTTGTTTTTAGTCCTGGCAATTGAACCCAGGGCTTAAGAAGCTAACCCATAATAGACAGCTACTGAAAGTATAAAAATACACTCTTGCAATATAACTTTATATGATGTTTTGCAAAACGAACACTGACCTATTCCTGGAATTGAGGTCAATTAGGGAAAAAATAATTTCAGATTATTATAACTGTACACGGGCAACTTTAAAGAAGAGTTGATTGGAGGGTGTAACTCAGTGGTAGAATACTTAACTACCATGTGTCAACTCTGAGTGTGATCCCTGGCATCACAAAACAAAAGACATTTAAAACATTGAGATCTCATTTGTACCAACAATGAACAATTACTTCTTGAGAATCCACTGCATGCCAAGCAAGCACTGGAGATAAACCAGTGAAAAACAAAGCTATCAACTTAGACCTTAGGGAATTTAGACTTTTAGCAATAAACTTTCAAGATGAACAGCATATGAAAAAGTTGTTACACGTCTCTCCCTTGGGATTTATATATTAAAGATAAAAATTAAGCAAATTTAAATATAATTTAGATTAATACTGTTAATTTTACTTGAGTTTGATATACTGAAAATGTTAAATAATATCTAGATGCCTTCTGGAATTATTTAAGTCCTTAAGCATTTCCAAGAATTGATATGGTATATAATTCAGTTTTTTCTTATTTTACTACTAACCATTTTCTTTTTGGAAAACTGTCTTCAGCTTTGGAATTTTACTAAAATCAACACGCTTGTATTCTTCATCTTCTTTCACCTCTACATCTGGTTTACCTAAAACAAAAATATTTTACATTATCACCAACCAAAGACAAAATAGTCACTTAATCAAGAAACTGTTACCTAAGATGTCTGCTAGTCTGTGTCCCTCTTTCTATGCCTGCATGCTTTCAACTATCCTAAATAAATGCTCATTGGGAGTCTACCCTCTATAACCTCTATTATGTTAGTGTTGTAAAGACCAGATTAGTAAGTAGCTTAAGGAAATTCACATCTTCTGCACATCCACATCCCATGATCTTTTCTCTCATCTCCCTTCTGTGATCACAGATCACTCTGTTGACCCCAAGGGTAGATCTCAGGCCAACATCAGATAAATTCTATATTCTGTCATAGAGAGCACAGTAATCATTCATAGAATAGAAAGGTAACCTATGTGAATGAGTCTGTACTGTGGATTTACTCTAGTGGAGTTGTTTTCCACTCTGCCTAAGAGCATTATAGATGAGACCTCAGAAATTTAGGCAGCACTTTAAGAAAGCCTGAGAAAACAAAGCATTCAGCAGTGAAAAGCCAATACAGCAAGTCCTAATAGTATGGAATAGAGAGTTCCAACCCAGAAGCTCCCAGCGCTGACTGGTGCTGCTGTTCATCCTTCAGTTCTGAGCGCTCCCGAGCACACTTCTGGTAAAATATCTCTTTTAAACTTAAGCAAATGTATTGCGTGTCATATGAGAATGAATTGTAATAAATTTCTCAAATTTACAATATGCTTAGCTTAGTGTACCTTAAAATTGGATAGAAATCTGACATTAAATTGGGTTTTTCTCTGAAGTTGGCAGCCCTTCCCTTTATCAAGCCTAAGTGTCAGTGTTCTCGGCCTAAAGGAACAGATAATGTACTAATGTAACACAAATTTAGCAACATGTAGAAAAGTACTAAAAATTAAAATCAAAAGACAAAAGAACAAAAACTGTTTTGGAACATTATCCCTCTACCTTTTACTGTAATTGTGACAGGAATAACTTCATTTCCAAATTTTCCAGCTTCCCATGCTGCTTTACTTCTGGTGTAAGAGTTAATAGCATAAGTATCCTGTTCATCTCTTGTAATATTCAGCTTCTTTGCAGTATTCTCAGCACAGCTGCCCTGATAAATTGGAAATTACTTTAAAACTCTGCACCACTTTGTAAACAATGGTTAGCACTTAAATTTAGTTTTTTAAAGTATTTTTTACATATACTTCATCTTTAAATACTTGCATTATCCTAGAAGTTGCTCTTATAGAAACCAGAAAGTTTCTTATAAAAGTGTGCAGCAGCCAGGTGTGGTGGTGCATACCTGTAATCCCAGCACTCAGGAGGCTGAGGCAGGAGGATCACCAAGAGTTGGAGGCCAGCCTGGGCTACATAGCAAGTCCAAGGGCAGCCTGAACTACATAGTGAGACCCTGTCTCAAAAAAATCAAAAAAGGGGGAAAAAAGTGGGGGGCTATTTAGCAATTTGACCTATACTGAGTGGGCATAAAAAATATTTTCCCAACATGAATGGCTAAAAATCAACATTTATAGAACCCGTGCTTCAAATTCAGTTTCCAAAATAAATCAAGTATATATCTGACATTCCCTATTAAAAAAACAATATTTACCATGTGAATTTTATTGTAGACATCAGTTAGCCCGTCTTTTACAATCAGATCTTCAAGCTTTACCCCACCGTACGGTGTTGCTCCTCTGTTCATTACATAGGGAACGTTGGACATGCTCTCCATCCCACCTGCCACCATCACATCCTGCTCAGCAACACAAAAATGTCAGGTCAGAGTTGCAAACCCAATATACACACTCTACACAGCTATCGACAAATGGGTATTCTACATGAATTTATTCACCATTTGTTATCCCCTTTATAATCTGACCCTGATAAAAGGAAATTGTTTAAAATATGTAATGAGAATTAAGATTCAAGCCAAACAATACCAGAAAATTATGCAAGATCATCTGAAATTCTAATCATTTCATTGACACTGCTAAAAACTTAAATGTCTACTAAAAGATTAGAAGCAGTCTCAATTCATGGAAATAACCCTTCTGATTCCATGATTGAAACCTCGGCACTTCCTAGACAGCTGTAATAATGGTGACTTCATCTTCTGATATGCAGTCCTTGCTTTCCCCATGGTGACACAGTACTGATGTGAGCCACCCTTGCTAGAATTCATCTTGTTTCACGCTTAAAGGAACTCAGTATAAAAGCTCTTTACAACTGCCTTTTTTCTCCTTTGTCAATCTCATATCTGGGCCTCCACCTCAAGTCATATAGAACTAGTTGAAACTTTGCAGAGATACCATGCTCACTTAGCGTACCACTTCTGCACTGGCTGAGCAGTCCACCAATATGTAAAACCCTACATTTTATAGCTAGGATGTAGCTTAGTGGTAGAGCACTTGCCAAGCATGTACGAGGCCCTAGGTTCAATTCAGAGCAAAAAAAAAAAGTAAAAATCCTACATTTTCTTTAAAACTAACCAAAACAGCCAGTTATAGTTTCCCTGACTGCTTATTTCTATACTTCCTTTTTGGAACAGTTTCCTTTCTTATGTGTTCCCCAACTACTGTATGATGCTTCTATTAATAGAGTAACACTATATGGTGGGTA